AAAATACTTTTTTCTCGTCACAGTTGATGGCTAAACGTGGTCTACTACATCATCGTTATGAAAATTAGTAACAATCATAAAATTGTTATCAACATAGACGTAGATTATCGTTACTGATCTTATTCTCTGGCTAAAATTATAATAAGAAGATGACATCTTTTTACATATTTGATCATGTTTTCGTGTACAATTTTTTAATTTTGTTTACTTCATACCAAAATATGCTATGAAGCATCTTTTCGAAGAGTCAAGATTTTACACTTTTTTTATATTATAAGTATAACAGTATATTGATGCACAAACAAAGATAAGAAGATATACAGTACGCAGTTTAGTTGACGGAAGATACCAATTTCTACCGCTAACAATGATTACGGCATGCAAGGTGAATAAAAACTAATTTTCTGTGAGTATTTTTTTAAATATTTTGTATTAAAATGAGACTTTATTTTAAATTTTTAATCCTAGTTATTTCAATTTTAAAACCAGTTAAATACAAAAGTTTAGTATATTTTAAAACTTCGGTTGCAAAAATTGAAATCTAAAATAAACTTGAGTTACGATGTAAAAAAATATTTTTTTTCACCCTCAAGTTAATTTTAATTTATTTTTACATTTAACAAGAATGTTTTTTTATGAATATAAATTGATTACATGCGGTTTTTGCGGCGATCAGACAAAATTTGTCTAAAAAAAAAATGAATAACTCCTAAATTTATCGTACTTAATTTTGTCTAATTGATTTTTATTTTGTGATAATTAATTTTTATTCATACCAAAAAGTAAAGAAACTCCGAGAAAAATTCTATTGAACAGCATCTCAGAATGTTTATTGTCATATAGAAGTTGACCACTTGATCGTATAGTTCAATCGATTAATCTACGGATAAGTGACATATAATATGCATGTTCGAATCTAACCTTCACCCCTATATTTCAATCATTTGGACTAGTTTCGACTCGACCAGTGAATCAGACTACAACTCGCCGAATACAGTGTCGAGGATGGGTGAGGGTGGGTGTACGTATTTTTTGCGCATAGTCATACCCACACCCACACCCTCAAGATATTTATCGAGCTGTTGATGAGCTAGACCATTTTTACTGAAAACATGGATATACACAAAAACCGTAGAATTTCATTGAGTGGTGTATAACTCAGCAATAGTTTGATGAATTGGGCTGAAATTTTCAGGAGATATGCCATCACAGATAGCTATTCTTTTCTAAACGTTTTAGAAGCAAATGATTTGTTATACGAAAATGGCACATTGATCACCATCTAGAACTTTGGCAAGACTCTAATGTCTCCATTACTCAAACAAATGAGCTCATTTTTTGAGCAAAAAAGGATCATGAGATGCGCTACAAGTTCACATCAAAATATCAATAATTACTCATATACAAGAGTAAAAACAAATCATAAACTTAGTAAGGTCAATTTCAGCTATTTTTCTGCTAATATGAGAAAACATCTTTGAATGGTAATATTTCACTCGGAAATTCTTTTCAGAAAATAGTGTAAACCAGTTGTGTTCGTCAGAGGATAAAATATTTAGATCGAAGTTGCTGATAATTATAATAAAATTGCCAAAGATAAATCATGATATTCGCATTCTTTAGCAACTGCTTTCTACATTCTTCAACAAAAATGATATTATCGAAGTTCTATAAAATACCATATGATTGTATACTACACTTTGATTCAAAAATCTCTTAAGAGAGATCCCATGAGATCATCGAGTATCATGCCAGATATCGAGGCATTCGTCAAAAAAGTTTCTTGAGTTGATCTTTTCATATTGTTCAGCATCATCTAAAACGTCCAAACCCAAATTTTTAGTGCACTTGAGCAAATTAGTGGAAAGTTAGCTCAGTTTTAGTAAGGAACAGTCACGTATTGTAAAGAACCATCGATTATGGAAAATGCATCAAATAGTTTCAAGCATTGAAACCTTTTCTATATTCTATGTCACGAGTTATCTATTAAATAGTAGTATACACAGTAAATGAATAATTATATTTCATTTGTGAATGAATTGTTTTTTGTTTCAAGCCTCGGAACTTGTTGGAAGAACGAATAGTGGTGGTCATTGTGATGACATTTTCACTCGATCCATTACTGTCATCATCCAGTTCATTGCAAGAATCATCTTTTCGAAAGAATAGTACAAATAGTCAAAAAAAAAAGATTAATACGTTTCGTAACATACTCGCTTTGATTGAGCATCCATATCATCAATGATAGTATGTATTTGATTGTTTTTACATTTTAAAGCTTCGATTTCTGCTTCGAGTTCGTCTGTCTCTGAAAATCTATATATGACAACAAGTTAAAATACGGCAAACAGAAAAAGCAAAAAAAGAGTCATTCGTACGTAGGAATTGTAAGTATCGAGCTATCGCAATACACTCGATCAACAAAAGTACGTGCGTAATTGTAGACTGCAGTGTTCTCAAAATCAGTCCATTCTATATTCATCTGCTGCGAACAAGAGATAGAAAGAAATTTTCAACAATCCACTAGTAAAATAAATCATAATCGATAAAAATATCTTTACTCTTCTCTCTCCCTCTCTTTGTCTACTTCGAGCAGCACCTATTAAAAGAACCTTGTGTTTTTGTAGCATTAATATGATAAAAAAGTATCAGATTGCTTTTGTTTTCGATCTTTCTATTGTCTTATTTTAATTAAAAAAACTCAATTTTCTGTGATTTAGCAAACTATTGCGTTGGAAGATATTAGATATATTGAATTAATCCTCATCAAATAAAAGTGCTCTGTAAAAATCTAGACAAATGAGTGTCTCTATTTCAGTTATTCTTACAACTTAAATTATCCTCACAACTATGATTTATCTTCGAATTCTAACTTTTTCCGTAACAGTTGGGCATTGTTACAAGTGTTGCGGTACTTGTACCTATATCAATAAAAGCTCCTAATCTATCATTTTTTTCCACGTATTCTTCATTCATCTCGACTACAACGGCCTCAATTTATCTCATGAACAACCATTATATACAAATAAATCTTATATTAATTCACTACATGATGAATGTTACAATCCAATTATCACACATCCATTTACATTACTAATGAATGGTGAACCACCCATATGGCATCTAAGTATCGTTTACAGAATAATTAATATTTGGAGAACAAATTGATAATACAAGAGTTAAACACTTTATGAATATAGTGTTAAAAAATGTTCAAGTTAGCGTACCAGAATTTTCGGCAAAAAATTTTGAAATTATTGATGTTGATGATCCTGGTTTTAGTTTAACATTAAAAATGCGACAAAACAAATTCTCAAGTTTCAAAATTATCCTAAAAATAGGAAAGTCGAACGCCGAGTAGGTTTTTTGGAAAAGTATATTGATCCTTAGTAAGTTTTTGTTCTGGAGGATTCTAAAGTTTTCTGAACATCGCATAATGTTTGCAAGTTGTCGAACGAAAATTGGAAACACATCTAGGTTCCCGAGGAAGCAACGCAGAAACCGAAAAGGTATTTCTCCATACCCATTTTGGTTTTGAATCATGCTCTCTAGCGATATTGGTTTCTGTGAATATTTTTACGATTTTCGGAAATATCGATTGAATTTCCAACTATAGAAAAAAGTATTCTAGAATATCTCACGAGTGTCGAATACTATATTCCTGGAAACCTCAAGGTTTCTGAAGTCTCAACAACCAATAAGGTATTTTGGAGAACCGTTTAAAAATTCGAAAATCCTCTCAGAAACTACAATGGGTTCCCAGAAAAGCGGGTTTTTTCGACTGTGGATACATAAAGGCAAAAAATAAATGTTTGTCATACGCAAACGATATTCAAATTATATGTGCTAAGCTACATTTCGTTTTTCTCAGCCCTGAAAGAATGAGCATGCACAATAGAAATTGCTGGTCCGTTTATCCACATTTTGATTGGTTGAGAATTGGACCAATCAGATTTCAGCAAGGGTAGTCACTGCTATTATCTACACGAAACATAATACTGTTCGCGCCAATATGGGGATTTCTATGGGTTATCTTTTAAATGGTCCGAACAACACCAGGTTCTGTATGAATAATAGTGAAGCATCGCTCCTTTTCGTGTCGACCAATCAGATTTTCAGAAATAGTTCTTTTGAGTATTATAAGGGCAAAACATAATACTGTCTTAATCGGTCAGGTAGCTTGTGGAGATCCTCTTTCCTATGACCTGAGCAATATTGTTTTTTGTTCTTATTGTATGTGATCTGAACCACTATTCGCAATCATGTGAATATGAACTTTGTAAACTGAGAAATTGGAGAAATAGATGAACAGTAACACTGACAATTGAAAAATCGACGAAATATATATTTGTATTTTGAAACCATGCTTGAATACAGATAATTCAAAGTAACAAATTGATACGGAAATTACTTTTTGAATCTAGATTCGCTATCTGCGCAGTGCACTTTTGTAATGGAAACGAACAAATTTTGCTAAAGAGACAAATACCACTGTATCAATCAGAATTGCACGCGATCGAATCCATGATGCAGTCAAGTGTATAGTCTACAAAAAAAAGAAAATCAAAAATGCAGGGATGAGGAGTCGGGAATGGCGTCTCCAAGGACGCTAATGACCAACGACGAGCTTCTTTGTTGTTTCAGACGAGCCACTCTTTATCAGGATGATTCAGGCAGTATAAGATTCTCTTATCGAAAGTATTAACAAGACAGTACATATAATTCGTACCACCTGTGCGTTTGTTTAGTCTATCGAAAAACAACAACTTACTTCTTTTATATTCTGCTTTGAGGATTGAGCGAAGCAAGGTCTGATGATTGATGCATTACTTGTAAATAAATACATTTAAAATCCTAACATTTATTAGAAGCAAATAGTTGTACAATTAGATTTTAATTTTTTTAATTAAATTTTCATACTTTATGCATAAAAAATATGTATACACGTAAAAGCATGTAGCATTCATTCATATGCATATTATATTATTTTCAAATTTTAGATGAATAAATATATTTATATAGTGTTAACATCAATTATTTTGAAACTGTTTTTTATTTCACAATGTTTAGTGCAAACAAATAATGTCTTTGAAGCTTTTTCTCAACAAGACGAAGTGGCATACATTGATGCTTTTAGTACTCTAATAAAAGATTCTTATTCAGCACCGCTTCCTCAAGATTTGGCACGCACATGTCAGAATCAGAATCAAGCTACGGAAGCAACAGTTAAATCAATAACAAATTCAATGTTAGCATCTGATTTACAAATATTTTGTGGTACTGAGACCATATGCACCATACCAGCTGGCTTTACAGTTACAATGAATAGTAATTTAAATGTTGCTGCTTTAGTTTTGAGTGGTTCGCTAGTTTGGAATGACATTAGCCAATCTTCGAGTGATCAATGGTTGTGTGCTGGTTACATTGCTGTAAGATATTTGCTTTATAATTTCACCAGAAAAATTGAGAAATTGAATATATTTTTTTCTGCAGGTCGACGGAGGCCAATTCGACATGAATCTAACGAGTAAACAAGGTTATATTTACATTAAAAATAATGGTCTCAACCATCCGGCGGTTCATACTCGTGCCTTTGGTTCCTATAACGCCGGTAAAATACATGTTAGTGGTCGCTATCTTGCTAGAACGTGGTCTTTACTAGCTGATAGAGCCACATATGGTATGAGTTCAATTAGTCTCTTACACAAACCTGAAGATATGGTTAGTGTAGAATTTCTCGATGTTGTTTATTGTACTGTAAACGTTTATTATACTTTAGGGCTGGAGAGTTGGTGATAGAATTGTTATAGCCCCAACTGTGTCAGGCTCAAGCGGGAATGCTGAAGATTTCACGATTGAAGGATTCGATGCTGATAATACTATAAAATTGCTTAATAAAGACGGAACTTCTATTGGTTTTATATCGTCAGTTTTTGAGTCAAAAGCCCTGTTTACAGGTGAAAATATGTCTGCTCTTATACAAGCTGAAGTCATTAACCTTTCACGTAATATTGTAATTACCGGAGACGATTTTCAGCATGTTCATTGTGTGAACGACGTGGCCGACGGCAGACCACCCGATCGTATTCAAGCCGATCACTGTTCATGTTGGAAAAATATTAATCGAAATCAATGCACCCTTGGATTGCATACAGTTGCGATTGGGACCGGTTCTGTTCTATCTTTACAATACACAAGAATTGAGAAGTGTGGTCAACGCGGTATTTTAGGAAAATACTGTGTACATTTACATTTACTTAGTAAATGCCCTGAGTGCAAAATTATTGGCAATGCTTTTGAGTATGGTCATCAAAGAGGTACTACTATTCATGGAACACATTTGGCAACTATAGAGAATAATGTTTACAATGACATTCGTGGTGCAATAATATATGTTGAAGATGGAAATGAAATGTATAATAGAATATTTTATAATGTTGGAATATGTCCTTGGGCAAAATCCGGAGAAAAAAGAGGATGCACTATACCAGGTGAGTTTTAAATTTGAAAAATTTCATAATTTTATTTTTTAATTTTTTTGTTTTTAAAGGCACAGACAATGATCAAGCAGATACTACATTAAATCAAGCTGGTTTATGGGGTTTAAGTTTTACTAACTATGCTATTGGAAATCGTTTTGCTAATAATTATAATGGCATGTTGTATCAAGAGCAAGGATTCGGTAATGGTCGAGGTCATGTGAGTGGTTTAGAATGCCTCAGTTTTCAACAAATTGGAAGGTTAGAAGGAAACACTTTTCACGGTTGTGGACGATTTGGTACATATGTACTTGCAAGTGTGTTCCCAAAAACAACCGACAGATCGATTGATAAAAATGGTTTACCAACTTTAAGTAGATGTCAAGAATGGACTACAAGTGGTGAAGATAACGGATTACCAGCGACATTTATGCATAATATAGATTATGACAATGTATTTGTAGGCCAATATAATGCTGGTGATTTACAGTATCGATTTCATACAAGTATTAATAATAACAATTTGATTTACTGGAAAGAAACAAAAAATTTTCAAGACGGTTGTTCCTCTCATATTGCTGATTCGTTTTATGACTCAGGCAATTTGGCTTTGCCTGGTGGTCATGGAACGTTTATTTTGGAAAATATGATCTTCAATAACCAAGTTCACTTTGAGTCAAGTCATCATTGCAATATTGGAGTAACTGGAGGTAACTGATGTTTCTTTTTTTACCTTTGCAATTAATTTTGTAATATGAAATCTCATCTAAAGTACTTTGTATGCCAACTTATGTGTTTGTCCATATGAAATGGACTGGTGTTATATCTGATCAATCTTCACTCTTACAGTGGGGACCAAATAATGGAGCCATGTTCACACTTGGACCTGATGATGAAAAAAACTTAAATGGAAATAAATTATTTCCAGCTGGATTTTGCTCTATAGTCAATCCATATTGGTAAGACTTTGTTTCTCTTTTCTTTCAAAGAAGTTTTTAATTTATTTAATGTTTGTTTAAGGACCTATCTTTTAGCATTGGATAATGGTGCATCTTGTTTTAGATCGAATGATGTTGCTAATCTTTTAGGACAAGATCCTGTTAAATTTGCGAGGAAATATGATGGTGGTATGTTGAAAAAATAAAAATATTTAAAACTATCTTGTTTATTGATAAATTAATTTTTAAACTTATTTAATTCTAATTTTAGGAGCTATTTTCTGCAAAAGACCTGTTCGTCGACTTGAGGTACTATCAATTTTTTGAAAAGTTCATAGGATTATTTTTCTATATTCTCTTCAAATGTTTTAGATATTCTCATTTAATCAAAATCCTGCAAATCATCAAACGATGCAGTTAGAACTTTGGCAATTCGATAATCTCATAAGCTCAGTTACTTTGAAATTTTTTCAAATTGGAGACAGAAAACAAGGTTATAGTGCCACTGTTGTTCCTGGTTTGGATCACAAATACAAATTGTCAATGACTGGTGGAGGAGATGTGTCTTCTGATTGGATTATTGAATTTTCTGATCCTGTTTTTGGAAATCGTTGGAAGAGAGATGAAATTGATCTAGTTGTTGCCGGTAGAATCTGTCCATATCCAGTTCATTCTCAGCATGATCGAAGGCAATTTTTCTGCAAATTATGTTTTTTTTTTGAATAATTTTTTTCTTAAGGTACATTTGGTCTGGAGATAATTATCTGACAGTAAAAGGAAGAGGAGCTTGCACATCTTTTCCTGCCATGCCATCCATTGATTGTAGATCTCAACCAAAATTAAGTAATGTTGAGCATTGTCCTGACAAATGCCCAAATGGTTGTACAAATGGATATTGTGATTGTGCGACAGGAGAATGTTTGTGCAATCCTGGATTTTCTGGTTCAAATTGTAATATTGACACGTGTGCTGCTGCTAGATGCATCAACGGTAATTGTGCTGCTCAATATCTTGGAGGAGATTTGCCTGTTACAAATAAACCATGTGTTTGTATCGATGGTTGGTATGGCGATAGATGTGATACAACAACGCCGCCACTTCCAGTTCCAGATCCAGTGCCCATGTGCTTTAACGGATGTTATTTTTACGCGGATAGTGATATTACCGGTGGACAGTTTGGGGTTATTCAAACATCAGATCCAAAAGCTTGCTGTGCTGCCTGCAATGCGAATGCAGCCTGTAATTCATGGGTTTTTTGGTCGTATAATTGCTTTTTAAAAACAGAAACACAAAGAATTCATAAACCTGGAGCCATATCAGGAATTAAATGTTCAACAGGTGAAACAAGTTCTATCACAAATGCACCTGTTACGGCAGCCCCTATAACAGCTCACTGTGATGGTAAATGCCAAGGTCAATATCCATATGGTTGTAATTCCGGTTTTCAATATGGATATTGCAACGCAGGAGGTGGATGTACTTATTCTATTACTACTGATCCAAATTGGTGTTGCTTCAAAGGTTGTAATCAAGAATCATCTGTCACAAACCCACCAGTTTTGACAAATACGCCAACAGATTCACCTATAACAGTTACGGTAGCACCTGTATCAGATTTTTGTGATGGAAAATGTTTTGGAAAATTTCCTTATGGTTGTAATTCTGGTTTTCCTCTAGGATACTGTTCTCCCTGGGGTGGATGCAGTTATTCTACAATGAATGATCCTAGTTGGTGTTGTTTCAAAGGCTGTTGATTAGTGTTGGTTACCAATTTTCATAAGCGAGCAGAAAAAATCATTTTTAATTTTATTTTAAAACATTTTAATTTTTGCTTGAAACAAAAAGATACAAACCAAATAAATTATCTCTAAATATTAACGATTGGCTTAAACAAACGCTAAACTTCGACTCTATCTAGTTATTTTTATGGTCACTTCCGACTGTATATGTTAATGAAAAATCATTGTCTAGCCATTCTTTTCACACTTTGTAAATAAACTTTTGTTCAAATACAAGTTCAAATTTCAGATCAAGGAAATATACTATCCTGAAATGTGAACAACTATTGCAACAGAGACCAAAAAAAGAAAAACTGCTTAGCAATTAATAAAATGTAAAGCTAAGAATTTGTATTCGTCACATTCATGATTATTTAAGTTAAAGAAAAATTATTTTTTCGGCATCAACTTTTAAATCATAGAACGTTACGTCAACGAATAAAAACGGCAGCCAAGAATAAGAACTGATACATTATCGTTGCAACTCCACCTGTACAGCATAGATTACCGCTAAAATTTGTTTTCAATCGAAGGGGTAAGGGTGTTACAGAAGTATAGATACACTCTCACCGATCATATTCTGTCTGTTCTTCGTAACTGTTGGTCATTCAACGAATATATTGTGAGACACTAGATATCAACAGATAAATTTTGTTATTATAACAATTAATGCTCGTGGCGGGATTTCCGAATTTCGCCAATAAGACTTTCGCCAACAGGACATTCGCCAATGGCGAAAGTCCAGTGTACTTTCGCCAATATACCCCGATGACTTTCGCCAATTGGCGAGAGTCCACTGTACTTTCGCCAATATGCCCTGGTAACTTTCGCCAATTGGCGAGAGTCTGATGTGCATTCAACAGTGTAACATGTAGATTAATAGACAACACCCAGATATATACTGATACCCATCCTCCTCACTCATATTCAACAATTATATTCTTCTGTGACAAATGCTAAAAGTCCATCAAACTTTTTTCAATTGGTGAGAGTCCACTGGAATTTCACCAATGTCCCACTGGACTTTCGCCATTGGCGAATGTCCAGTTGGCGAAAGTCTTATTGGCGAAATTCTGGTAAGCCCTCGTGGCTACGAGTCGTTTGACCCTTGAGCCAATCCATTCTATTCATTCTGAGACTAAGCTGCGGTAACTAGTTTCGATGAAATAGTGTTCATTGAGGATATCCAATCTTGTATTTAAACCAAAGAAAAGATTTATTATTAATAGTAATATAATAGATAAGTTAAATGGGATATTTTTTTATAAGAAAAACTAAGGAGTTGTGAAGTTTAAGTTCTAAAATGAACTGTTAAATTTCTATGGATTCTGATGAAATGATCGAAGGTGTTTAATTGTTGTTGTTGATGCTACATTGTACTTATGATGTTTGTAGGGGCGTAATATTGATGTTAGATTTTTTGTGTGTCGTTCTTCATCGTTCTATATGATAAAATTCAGATATGATCAAACTTAAAATAAAACTAAGGAAAGATAATAGATTAATTCCAGTGTCCATATACAAACAATATTATGATGCTTTTCCTTTTTATAAATCATCATATGCCGGTAAATGTATGATTTATTTCACAGTTTATTAATTTAATACATTATAAATTACAATAGAATAATAGAAAATCGTAAAGGACCCCGCACGATAAGAGTCGAAATCTGCCACCCCGCTAAGATCGTATTTTAATATTATTATTTTTTACCTTCGACCTTCCCTCACATTTATTCATTTCAGTTTTTTCAAATGAACTCTTACTTATGGAGATAGGCCTAGATCTTTACGTTCAGATCATTAAGTAAAATATAGATATATTGGAACCCTTGAAGTACACTTTTCTCTACCCATGTAAAAATTTATAGGGTCTAAACGCGTTTTCAAGCGCGTTTTAGATGCGTTTGAAACGCTATAAGAACGCGTCTGAACGCATCTAAAATGAAACATCTGATGCGTCTGAACGCGTCTGTCAGATGCATCTGGACGCGTTTCAAAAACGCGTCTAAGCGCGTCTACACGAGCAATGAAACATCTGACGCGTTCAAACGCGTTAAAAAATCCGAACGCATTCAAACGCATCTAGACATCAGGTGAAACATCTGATGCGTTGGAACGCATCTGTTGGACTAGACGCGCGTGAACGCGCTCAGAAATGAGAACTCGTCCAGACGCGTTTCAAAAAATTTCAGAAAAAAAAAGTTCTTGTTCTCGCAGATTCGAACTGCGGCACCATCAGAACCACTTGATGGTCAGCTCTATCCTAGAGGCATAGTACAGAACAAGTTATTTTTAATTTTCGACACGTAGATGATAAGTGCGATGAAGCAGGCTAGAACAGATGAACTTATTAAAGAACAAGCTACTTACATGTGAGCTATATTTGCTCGTAAGAGTGTATTCTCGACGAAGATATCTTTGTAATTGTTTCTAATAACACTTATTTCTAAGGCAGAATTCAGTTGATTATAAAAATATGCAATTATTTTTGGTTTTCTGGCATTTTTTAAATAAAAAAAAAAAATAAATCTTTTGTTTCAATTATGCAAAACTGAAATTTTATTTTGTAACTCAGTATATATATTTCTTCGAAACAATTTATCATAGAAAAAAAATCAATTTATTATGAACTAGTTTGGTTTTCCGTTCATTAGTTAAACTTTGGCAGGAGTTGTAAATTTTGTTCTCTTATCAATAAATGAAATAAAATCAGAAAGAAGTTTAAAAAACCAAATGTCCACAATTATTCAGCTCGCTTGTATTTATACATTTAAAAAAAGATGGATAAATAAAAGAAAAATTTTATCAGAATTTCAGACTTGGATCATCATCCGAGTGACTTAACAAAACTTAAAGATAAAAATAAGTCTCATCATATTTCATGTAAGACGAAAAAAAATATAATAAACTATTACAATTTAAAATATAACCTTCATATTTCGAAGTATAATAATATAGAACTCAACTTAACACATTCTATTTAATGTTAAACAAAATATGGCTCAATATTCTAATAAACTTATTTATTGTCAGTGTGAAATAAGAGCACGTCAATAACATCTAAAGACATAAGATCGAGCCAATTTACAACAATATTCATCGATTTGTATTATGAGTTTGGATAAAAAGTCTAAAAAAACGACGTTTCCTTTCCTCCTCATATACATAATATTCGTTGTCTTCAATAATACATGGTATTCATTGAGATTTATATAGTATCATTAAAATAATATAATACGTATATATTTTACTTAGTTTGCGTATGTTTATAGAAGAAAAAAGAAATAAGAGCAAAAAAGACACTTTTAATTTCTTAGTAGACCAACAAAAAATTTATAATTGTACTATTATAGTTGACTTTCATCACAAATCTAATTAAGAAAAAAGAGACAAATGAAAGTAACCAAAAACAATTAAAACGAAAATATTATAATTTGAAATGATATCAAATACCATATAATGTTGTCAACTACAGCAAGATTAATAATAGCTAAATATGAAAATATTACGTATGATTAATATATATTAGAGAAATTAAGTATTGACCAAAGTCGACATAAAATTGAGCTGGCTCGCAGTAATAAGCGTGAATCTATATTTTTATTTCATAAGATCAATAAAATCACGTTTAGTTAAACAAATTATGCTTTTTTTTTCTACTCAAATATAATTATAATCAGCATCCCAAAACTTAGGTAGCACTCTTATAGTTTTATCTATAATCTCAAAGAACAAAGGTCAGTGTAAAAAATTCGTGTAATTCATGTATATTTCATGCAAAAAAAAATTAGAACAAAAGCTTGAACAGTTATATATTTTATTGATTTGATAACTTTCATATCATAACCTGGCTTGGTGATTATTGCTTTGGCTCAGCTGGATCTTATATCAGCTTTGGCCAATCTTAAAGTTATACCAATATATATTGAATATATATATAATATTTTCATATTCATGCATAACTCATATAGTTATATGTTGACATTATTAGGTTGTAATTTATGTTTTTCAGTTTCATAATACTCTCGGCTTAATTATTTTTTGTTATAATTTCATTGTTTTTTCTTTTGATTTGATTTGTAAAGTCTAATAGTCAATTTTCAATTTCTTCTGCAATAATTGGAAAACGAAGAATACCTGTATCTATTCGTGTATTCTTTTTCTTGTTTAAGGATCTGTAGAAGAAACAGAATATTCAGGTTTCATATTTTCCCTTTACACAGAACTACGTAAAACCCTAAGAATGTTTTTATTATATGCTTTGTTGATGAATTAGATAAATCTTTAAACACGTGTAGGTGCAATTGTAAACGAATTTTAGTAATCAGAAACAGAAATGAAAGCTTTTTCTAAAGGACAATGCATAAAGTATTGGTTAGAGAAATAAAAATAAACGTAATAATGTGTATTATGCTCATTATTTATTTCGTGACAACGATTTTTCGTTTTCATAGTATTCATTAGCAAATATATTGTTACATGTATCCCATACAATATTGCATAAAAAATATTTATGTGCTTCAAATATGCTGTATGTATCTATAGACATTCATGAATAATGTTTTCTTAGCTTAAACAACTCGTGGCGTGACTGTTTTTTAGATATCTAATGTCTAGATATTCTTTTATCTTTAGTCATAAGACATGATAGCAGTTCGTCCATTAAGAAAGAACAATGAATAAAATAATTTTATTTCTTTGTGTCTTATGATCGCTTATTCTTTGTCACCGAAATTAACCTCAGAATCAATTAAGATTGAATTTTTTCGTGCAAATTTTTAGATTAGGCAACGATGCAAATCTATTGAAAGTCTTGCATCAATAACATTATCAGAGATATATTCTTAAAGGCACTTTTCAATATTAAAGCTTTCGATTTTATGCAAAAAAATCAATCAATAGAACTTTGGATAAGAACCTTGTCTTAAAAAGCTCTTGTCCAATAGTCATTACTTAATATCTTTGAGTAACCGTTCGAAAGCATGTAATTCTAAATTTATGCTATAAAAATTCATGCATGCATAGTTCCTATGAAACGAAAAAGAAGTTTTCTCAAATAAGCAATTTTCATATTCAAAACAAGAAAAAAATTTATCTTTATTAAAAATACCAAAGATTATGTGAAATATTAATCTTACATGTACTTTCCTGTTCCTATATAATAATTCAACTAAGTATACGTTAGTGCAGCAATTATTTCATGAAAGAGACTATATATATGAGTGTTTTTCTCGTCAGAAAATCGAGAAAAATCAAAAATGATTTCTTTTTTCTAACATTGAATGTTAGTGGAAATTTTTTCAAAAAAGAATTATCGCTACCATTTAAGCATTATTTTTCTACACTAAAATCACTTGCCACTTCGTGCAAATTACATGCAGCAGTTTGTTTCAATTGATTATATTTTTTTAAAATTCACTTTTACACTTAACAAGTGTTATAAAAACCATTACTGTCTTGCATTTAAGACGTGAATACAAGTGATCATATAAACGCAGAGATGTTTAATATCATTTGTCGTTTACAATTATGAGGAGCATTTCTAGATGCGTCTTCATGCAATGGACGATTCAAACGCATCCAACTGCGTTTCTAAAACGCGGGTGAACGCAATCGTTTCTACAAACGCGTTTCGTTGCGTTTTTACCTTTAAAGTCGTGAAACGCGTTTCTAATTTGGATGCGTCCATATGCATCATGAATTTCAACGCGTCCAGATGCGTCCCTTGAACGCGCTTGAACGCAGTCATTACTGCAAATGCGTTTAACTGCAGTTTCACTTTTAAAATCGAGAAACGCGTTTGTATTTTAGATGCGTCTAGATGGGTCCACCAATCTAAACGCATCCAGATGCATCTCTAAGACGCGACTGAACGCGTTTTGCTCATGTTTCTTAACATTGCCGCGTCTGCACGCGTTTAAAACGCGTTTGAACGCATCTAGTCTGCGTTTCACTTTTACATGGGTATCATAGAAAAAGATTTCTAAAATTCTAATTATATATTTAGAATCAGCTTTAAAAACGCTATCGTTCTGTATAACTTTATTTTTTCAAAACTCCTAATGTTAAACAAAAAAATCCGGAGAAAGTCATTCAAGAGTATATACTTACATCGAAAATGTACAAAATCTTGAGATTTCATTATCTCAAAAATAAAAAATATCTCATCGGCGAAACTTTCTCAAAAACTTGCTTATATATTGACCTTTCTTTTGATATCATCGTAATTTTAAAATTCTGTGTCTGAAGTCCCACTTTGTACTCATATATTCTCAAATGCCACGATATTGCACACAAATCCTGCTCGTATTTGGCGATTTTCATAATAAATAATTTATTTTTAGATAAAATACATATAATATTCGGAATCAGCATTAAAATCTGAGTAAAGTGACATGTGTTTTATTTAAAAATATTTCTCGTCAAAATTACACCCCTGGGGGTCCACAGACGAATTTTCTGAAAATAATCGCTGGAGGGGTTACGGGTGTAATTTTGACGAGAAATATTTTTAAATAAAACACATGTCACTTTACTCAGATTTTAATGCTGATTCCGAATATTATATGTATTTTATCTAAAAATAAATTATTTATTATGAAAATCGCCAAATACGAGCAGGATTTGTGTGCAATATCGTGGCATTTGAGAATATATGAGTACAAAGTGGGACTTCGGACACAGAATTTTAAAATTACGATGATATCAAAAGAAAGGTCAATATATAAGCAAGTTTTTGAGAAAGTTTCGCCGATGAGATATTTTTTATTTTTGAGATAATGAAATCTCAAGATTTTGTACATTTTCGATGTAAGTATATACTCTTGAATGGCTTTCTCCGGATTTTTTTGTTTAACATTAGGAGTTTTGAAAAAATAAAGTTATACAGAACGATAGAGTTTTTAAAGCTGATTCTAAATATATAATTAGAATTTTAGAAATCTTTTTCTATGATAGAGAAAAGTGTACTTCAAGGGTTCCAATATATATATATTTTAATTACAAGAAACAACACTAATTAGCCATTTTATTGAGTCACTTTCTTTTCCAAACGGTTTGATACTTTGTAAAGAAATTAGCTGAATGTTGGAGAGGAAAAACAAACAATAGAGCAAGCAGTACAAGAATAGAACTACGGATAAGGATGTAAAAAATAAAACTCACTTCTTGTTAAATTACAATTGTGAGAATAGTTTGATGTTTGATATACAAACATAGGTAAGGGTATTTAATTATGGAGCTCAGATCGAAATAAAACTTTTACATTCATATGTAGATTACCAAATTTCGAAATATAAAATCAGTAATTGATCAAGGTTCAGTAGCAAAATAATTCCATAGCGATGATAATTACGATCGTCAGATAGATGAATTGAATTACGAACTTTAGAAATTTTCCAAACAGTGGATATCAAAAATAGAACTAAAGACATGACAATGTTATTGGAAAACTTCTTTGATTCTGATAAAGTTCTGAATGATAGTACACTTTGTAATTGGTTATCCAAAAGTCGACGAAGAGGCAAAAATTAACTCGCGAACAATTCGCAACAATAAATAGTGATGAGTGAATCAAATGTTTAAAAACGATTTTCATATTAATTAAATAATCCGATGACATTATTGATTATTGGTGAGCCAATGTTTTGTTTTTCGTGATTTGAGTGTGTATTTACAAAATAATCCATAGAGTTATATTTCTTTATCGAATATTAACATGATGTGTGTTGTACAAATCATTTATTTCAATAATACATTCGTTATGACGTTTTTCTTATAATGAACCTCAGGACGTAATATTGCTCGACTACTTAATAATGTAGGTCAAACATATCTGATAAACATTCGGACATTTGAACAAGGCATTATGCATAGTAATGAATCGATAGATTTTTATAAATTTAATCTTTTTTTTTTGTTTAAAATCTCTTACACGTGTTACTTTTTTGAAAACAAAATCAAGGTTCAAAATAAGCGACAAATAATGTGAAATCACAATTTGAATTAGACGAAGTTTATAAAAGAAAAGTGTTCATTTTTACATATTGTTTATTTTTGTTTTTCATTGACATTGTAAAGTGAATTAATGATCGTTTGGAAGCGTTGTCGCGCAACTACACGTCGTGTCTTGAATGTTGTTGTGATTAGATCATTCTGTTGAGAAAATGGCTCATGATGAAGATAAATATTGCTGACTGTTTCAAAATGTTTCAATTTGTTTTTTTTAGCCAATCGCAACAAATCGATCATCATTAATTGTTTTAACTCACCGCTTTTGCATAATTCTTCAAATGTTTTTGTCTCTGTTAAAATAAAATTCTTTCGTACGTACTCTTCATCTGGTACAACAATGGCCACGACTGTTGCTTCTGTTGAACAACCATCGATAAATATTTGAGAAATCCATCGAGAATGAAGATAGATATCTTCTAGATGTTCAGGTGCAATATATTCGCCTTGATTCAATTTAAAGATGTGTTTACTACGATCAATAAGGCGCAATGTACCATTAGCTGTCCATTCACCAACATCACCCGTATGTAACCAACCGGCTTCGTCTATTGTTTCCCGTGTTTTTATCGCATCATCATAATAACCTAGTCAAAAAATTTTCAAAAGTTCAAAGTTAGAAGTACATCTTGCTGGTAGATGTAATGCAACTAGTCAACAATTGATCCATCTTACCTAGTTCTGTATAAACTATTAATCATTGAAAAAAAAGACAAAATTTGAATTATCTGACAGTATTAGCTCAGTAAACTACCCGAAGCTTTGAAGACCAGAAAAGTCTCTCCCTCTAAAATAGAACTTGCCTTTAAAAACATTAGGTCCACGAATACAGATTTCACCTTGATTATTTTCACTTCGATAATTCGTTTCAGGTACATCGATTAATTTGATTTCAACTGTGCACAGGGATGTGCCAACTGTTCCGCATGACTTGTCAATTATGTGTGTAGTTGTTCCTACACCAGTCGATTCTGTTTGTCCAAAGAGTTCATAGATGGGAATATCGAGTGCAATACGAAAAAAATGCAGTACATCCCGTGAAATCGGTGCCGATGCTGATAACATTGCTGACACTTCATTACCAAAAAGTTGTCTCACTTTTCGAAAAACAATACGTGAGAGAAACGACGATTCGTCTTTGTGCAATGCTTGTCGGACAAGAAATCGTTTGACTTTACTTTTATCAACTTCACTCATGACTTTATCGTATACCTTATTCAAAATGCGCGGTACCATATACATACGAGTAGGCTTCACTAATGCATAGTATTCAAAGAGTTTGTCAGGAGTTGGACAAAAAACTACTTGGCAACCATGACCAAACATAAGTAATAATACAGCCTGTTCATAGAGATGAGCCATGGGCAAAAACGAACAATGTCGATCTCTGAAGTTCATCAAGATACCGGCTCGTTCTTCACGATCAGCTATAGACTTCAGTCCTGTCATGAAGTTGTCGTGAGTTAACATAGCAACTTTTGGGTCACCTACAACAGATGTTAGATAGTTTCTCTACACAATTTGACAGTCGCTAGACGCAAGATAAAAGCATTCAATAAAGTGTTCTTGAAATTTAGCATTGGACTTCTTAACATTTTCCGAAGAGTTCCGAAATCGATGATACGAATCGAATTCGCATCAATGTTTTAGATAAGAGTAATTAATTTTGCACACAATATGTCTGTAAAATCAAGACAAGTTTAGACCGTTAAGCGAACATAACTTTTCATCTTAACTCTATCCTTTGAGTTTCATGATCTACTCGCAAAAAAAGGGGCAATTATATTTCTCACCGGTTGTTCCGCTTGTCAAAAGAAATGTAGAAATACTATTTGGATCAATGGTTGGTCTTGGACGTATATTGGCCTTGTTCATCGTCTTTAAAATGGATGAAAAACTTCGGATTTTGCTATGTTCACCATCTTGTACTTCGTCCATAACAATAATCTCTTTGATTTGGTCATTTTCGAACAATTGTTTTTCGAATGATCGAATGCGTGCCAAATTATCGACAACCAGTATTTCTGATTGAGTCCTTCGCAGTGAATCCATTACTCTTCTTGGATCATAACTTGTGAAGAGACCAACCACAATAAAACCGTACATGTAACAACCATATCCCATAATGGCATATTCTGGTCTATTGACTGACATTATGGCTACTTTCGAATTCATAGGAACGAGTTTTGTTTCTGTCCATAAATAAGATCCAATGTAACGTGCTCTTTCTGATACCGTTGAATAAGACAACCAGCGAATAGGTTCTGCCTTATTTTCCGATTGAACAAGACCTATACATGGACCGTCTTTCGAAAGAGTTTGACCATGATCTAATACATCACCGAGTGTACGAACATTGGGATAGATTGATTTGTAATATGACCAAATATCAATATCTTTGTACAATGTACATCGACGAATATGTTCGACAGGATCTATTTCGACTGTTTGATTGTTGACATCAATACCATCGTCGTACTTTAGTCGAGTAAACGATGTATGTGTTTTTGTACTCATACTTCGCTGCTAATGAGAAAATATCAATATCAATTACTCATACACTAAGCAGTCCGTTCATGCAAATTACAACAAAACCTACTGAACTAGCTGGTTGTAGATTTGGTTGGTTTTAACAGATATTAGAATAGCAAATGTTCGATAAATACTTATTCTGACCTGATCGAAAGAATTTGAGGAAAAGACCTTGATTGGAGTCTTTTTGACTGGTAAATGATGACAGACTGAAATTTTTGTCACAAGTTGACTTTAGGAGGATCTCTTATGTAGAAACATTCTAGTAGTTTTCAGTCAATTACTTGTTCAGAGCACCTATTTTGAAATCTGATGATGATGAAAACCTTTCGTTTTCGATTACAATTATATTTTGAATCTAATCCTCTCCACATAGACCGAGTTGTTTGGTGTAGATAATAACAGAGTTGAGACATAAAATAACGCTAAAACTAGCTTGTCTTATCAACGAATAGCATGAGAAAAGCCTTTGAATTAGGAGCGCAAAGACAGGATCCACGGTCGGTATGGAATGTATTTACACCTAACTAATGTTGAAAGAACTTAAGCATAACGAAATTGCACTACTGCATAGTCACTATAAAGACCATTAGGGTTCCAATAATATTTTTGGATTCAGCAAGTATTTAATCTGTTAACCGTACATAATTTCTATTTGCTTTGATCGATTCTTTTATGAACAAGATATTCTGGATAAGGACCGTGGTCGAGTACATTCACATTCATTTTGGATGTGTCATGTGCTCAGTTTATTGCGATGTACTAATCGAGATAATCATCGATTTTGTATTACGATATCGTACATATATATCGTGTGGTTCTACAGGACTGTATTTTATATCACAGCTCAAATTTGACTAGTTGCTTAGATTAAATTAAGTTCTTGCATTCTAAACACACGATCGAGTTAAGACTCTCGTGTAATGATGGACGTATTGCGTATTGAAGATCTTGCATTTGCAACTATGAATATTCCTTACTATCGTAGGGTTAATTTAGGAAAATAGAAAAAACAACACTGTTACCTGTATGATCATCTCAGAATACTTTGGTCTTGACCAAAACGCAGGATGGACCAATCGAGCCATAAATAGAACAGACAAAGTGAATTCATTTTGTCTTGAAATGCGACTAAGAGGAGTGTTGATCGGAATTCTGAAGGATGCCACTCGACTTATTGCCATTCAACAGGCTAATGTTATATCGTTATTTGAGTCTAGAAAATAGTAAAACGACTATGTCAGACATGAAGGTTAAACATCCTATGAACTACTCGGTAAATGTTATTTTACGTTTGTGAATCCATGACGACTGTTCACGAAGCCTTTAGCGATAAACTTAATGGACTTTTGTGATTAGTTTTCAATAGCAACAACAGTCTGCTCATCGGTCTAGGGAGCAATCGTGGAGATCACACTATATCGAAAATACTGCTTTCTCTCGATCAGCCTTTTGTATGATATTCACGTTGATTCTATCAAGGAGGCAAAAGAAAGGTAACACATTGACGACGTGTATGTAAGATGGCTGGCAATCTAACGCAAACACTGTGTGATATGTCATCTCTTTACTCGTTCTGTTGGCTTTTTTTATCAAAGAAGAAATTCAGCAATACTAAACTACACGATGTAAGATAAGAGAAGCCAGATTGTCAAGTTGCATACTTTGAAAGACAATCAACGAGAACGTTTTACAATAGTTGAATTAATCCGTCCGCCGGACATCACTCAAAAGTAACTTTCATCAGATACTGATTCACTTGTCCTAGACTAAATTGATAGAACGATTCATTAATAAAACTCTACTTTTTTTTTTTCGTATTATATGTCTGCTGTTGGAAACTTAGCTGCAACAAAAAAAACAAGAGACAAACAGTTGATTCTTCTTGTTTTCAATCACAGAGGTTCACGATATTATCGAATAGAAATTCGTCAGCATTTTAGTGAAATAGCTTATGGTTATTTGAAAGTGACTAATCATCTTATCCTTTCTTTCGTTCTCCATAATATTTACATATATGCACATCTGAATTTGATTGACGAAAACAAAACCTATACCATCGAAAATGAATACGAGTTAAAACAAATATTGCTATTGAAATGGAATCTGATGGAAAGAGATTAAGAAGAATGAAAAGAATAAAAACTGATCATGTCTCTTGTGCTTTTAACATGAGAATACTCAATAGAAAGATTCAAACGTAAGTAAAAAAGTTGAATGTAAAACCAATTCAATGCTGTTCATTTGGTAAAACTGATGTCCTTTTCTTGTATGAAAGATGAGATGTGCGAATAGTTTTGAGTGTCTTTATATACATAAAGATATAAATATATGTGCGTAGGTGTAATTGTTCATGTAGGTCTCTCTTTCTTTCAACAAACTGAGATATTATCTCGATTATTTCTTCATTTCTTATGTCTTCAACTTCCTTCTTTCTTAATTAATATCAATACGTGACAATAGGCATCTCTCATTCATTTGGCTGCATTTCTAATCTTCTTATCTCTGAAAAGTAAAATAGATTTTCTTCTATTTATTCAAGTAGTTTCATTATTATTTCATACTATTTCACGAGCATGTCAAGAATCGTTGCCATTTTAATTACAACTAAAAATATAACAATTGAGATAGTCTTGTTTAAATGTATTACTAGTGTTTGAAAATTTTTAAAAATCATATTTCTACATTTAATATATCACACTTGCTAAAGTATTTATGAAATTCATGTAATGATACAAGTCTTATCAATTCTTGAATTTTTCAAAATTATTATTCTCACAATAGTACTTCTATTTGCATTAATTAATACTATTATAATAGTTCTCATTCGACGTCATATTCATATTTTTATATTGAGCGTATGCTTGACGACAATGTTTGCTGGTATCTATTGGCTTGTCGATATTAAATTCTTACAATATTATATCACATATCGATTTAGTGATAGAATATGCACTTTTATATTCTATGCACGAATGATGTTTAGTTGTCAAATGTCATTTTTATTGGTCGTCGTATCTATAAATCGATTGTTGTACGTAATTTCTTCTGCAAGAATTTTTTTCAAAAAGAATTCTTGGGCAACAATTTGTATTATCAGTCAATTGATAATGGGTTTTATTGCATCATTAATGTTGTTTTCAAAAAATTTGTCGGTAAGCATTTAATATTCTCCACCGATCTAAAGAGGAGAAGTTGACTATGTTATTTGATAGAAAATCAATGAAAAAAATTCAGAACATTTTTACCATGTTTTACACTTTTAATCAAATAAACATATTGTGTAAAATTTTATTTTTGAATCATAACGAATTTATGAACCAAACCGACCAGACTATACTTTCTCAATTCGATAAAAATGAAGTTTATTTTGTTTTTTTTTGTCGTTGAGATCTGTGTGATAACACAATGGATGCCATACTACAAAATGGGAATGATTGTTATTCTTCCATCATTAGTATCATTCATTGTTAACAGTATAATATTCAATCTGGCTTGTTTATCAACTCGTCGAATACAACCACAAGTAGACATTGTTTCAACACATACTATCAATTCGGGAAGAAGAAGACTTCGTCATCGTGATATTTACCTACTGAAACATATGATCTTTATGTTTTGTGTTCATGTGGGAGGATGGACACCGGTCTATATTATCGCCGCATTAGATATTCATCGTTATCTTTTTTCAGTTATGTATAGTCTTTTCTTTGTATTGGCTGAAATTAGTACGCTACGTAATATTGTCAATCTATTTTTGTACCATCATGACGTTAGACGATATTTTCTGAACAAGATTCAACGATTCTTTTGAAAAAAATCCATTCAATGTTTATGAATGAGAAAGAAATCATTCACAATCTTTTGTATACTATTCAGCTAACGAGCAATCTTGTGATACCGACAATAGATATACGTTATAGTAGAGTACAAAGAATAGTCTCTAGGTACATTTTTCGAATTGTATCATTCTAAACACAATCATATGGCGATTAAAACTCTTGTGATAAGGTAAACGAATTTGTAAACACCACCATAAGATGAACTGATTATGTCATTATCTTTCATAAAATCATACAGGCGATTTTCTTAAAACGCTGTGCAAGTTTCATAAAATATGACAATGTTCTTGATTTTGTTTCGAGATTCTAATAGGTAGATCCTTTACGAATAACTCATCTCTTATATGCAATGCACTCGTGCCTTCTCCGTACAGATCGCATATATTGAAAAATTATTAAAAAAAACAATATAAGACTAATTAAATGTAAAATAGTTCAATAACAACTAGATTAGTCTCATCGAATGTCTTTCTTTATTATCATTAGGAAATAATAACTGTATATTTGCTTTATATTCTACTCATATTTTGTTGTTTTGAATATATTCTTATTTAAATATGATAATCAAAAGAGGAAAATAAAATACTAGCGAAACAACCTGACATTTACCTCGTTTGCTTGCGGATGTATGATGTAAGCGTGTGCAGGTATCGATTAAGTTTAACTTCGTGATTAGGCGAAAATTGATTTTTTATTCTTACGAATACTTGTTTAAGATTGAAAAAACTCAGCCATTGGAAAGATGTAGTTTTCAATTAATGTCCAATTTGCTGTTCTATCGTTTCTTTCAACTTTTATGATTACTTTTTTTAAAGTCAATGATAAAAGTTGAGTACAAAAGGAGTGGATATAAGAGTACGATTATTCTCTATATCTATCTCCACACAGTCATCCACTTTCATTCCAATCCTGTTTGTAACAATATATCCATTCTTATTATGAAGTGGCCAGCAATTTTCTTCATTCGACATAAACTAGCTAGGAAAAAACCTGTACTTTGTCTTTATCGAAAAAACTGTATTGAATTAAAAGAATGATTTAGTCACAATTGTGCATTCTATACCAATTCGTTTGATCAATTGTCAAATACCGTATATTGCGTCAACTTGTTCAATCTTATCAAATCTAAGAAAGGCATCAATTTTATTTCGGTCAATGGTCAAATTCATATAACCTACTTGACAATAATAATTGTTTGATCTTGATCTGTTGATATCATCGTGTGAGTACTAGTGACTTCAAAAGATACTAAAGAGAATTTTAGCTGATTTTCTTTTTGTGAATCTAAATGAGAATAATGAAGAAGGAAATACTTATCATTCAATTGATTATTTGATGAATACATCGACGGACTCGGAAGACATCTCTACTATTTCGACCAGCACACATATTGGTACAGACAGCAGGTCAAAATATATTTTGACGATGACATTCTGACAATAACAACTTGGCTTGTTGGAATTTGTCAATTAAGTTCGACGACGCACAATAAATCACCCAAATCGGATGAGTATGTTCCATTAAGAAAGCTATATGATGATGTAAACCAAGTTTATGCCGAGATTCGTTACCAGATGTATTCCAACAGATAGTTCTATAAAATGATTCTTCGTCAGAATATTCCATAGTATGACAATTCAAACTTATTGTACAACACTTGAGACCAGTATTTGTCTTGGCTAGATTTTGTTGATCGATTGCATATATAAGAGTGCTTTTCTCTACACGGCCTGAGCTACAAAGAAATATATTTGTTTCAGTGAGATTTTCATTTCCTAATAAATTCTTGTCTAGAAAATATTAGTAAAAATGAAAAAACACTTATGTTCTACATATGTCAACCTAGAAGTCATACTAAAATCAGTTATATATTATACTTTCAATCATAGATCTACGAGTAGAACCAAATTTATATATAAAATTTTGATATTAGTTTGCATTGACAATCATGAAGTTTTCGTAGTTGTTGAAAAAAACACATTTTTCTGACGTTCTAGAAAATATCTGCATACAGTTGGGTTTGGATGTATGGGAAAAGCAGACACCCACCCGTACACCATTTCTTTACAAAATAATATGGAGAAAGGAGGATTGATTTACTTCAGTAACTGTAGAAATGACTACTACAAAAGAAACTGAAAATTTTCCAAAAGTGGACACCTTTATTCAAGTTCATTGTGAAAATTTTCAAACAAGAAATCATAAAATAATACTGAAAATATATATTCAAATTGAGAATACATGCTAATAACAGTTCATTGATGATTTTACATTTCTTCAGATGCTGTGTTCAAGATAAAATCAATCAAAGATGATACCATCTGCCTACCGACTTCCTTGCAACAAAACCGTATAAATGGTCGAGATGCTCGAAAGAATTCTTCAACTTTTATCTTCATATCTGTCCAAAACTTATTGTTTTCAGCAACAGTTAAACACCATCCGGCAAGGTCATGATCTTTTAATGAAGTCATCACGCCAAAAATAAGTTCATTAATACCTTCGGCTTCTTTCTTGATACCCATTTCTTGATCTTCATAGACAATGCTATTCACTGCTGTACATAAAGCTACGTTAGCAAAATATTTAACATTCGCTTCATCTTTTATTATAGCATAATGCTGGTCTAAGAGCGATTGGAAATTTTCCATAACTTCTGTACGTTTCTGAGAGCCTCCAGAATATTTGTTAGTACAGACAAGTGCACAGAAAATCTTTGATTGAATACATGTATCAACAAGCCATTGTAATTGTTCTAACCGAAGAAATGAACCAGGCGACGCACAATAGATCATGCAAACAGGTTTACTTTCATGTATAAGAGTCAAAAAATGTTTTCGAACATCGTTTTCAGACCATGATTCGACGCCGGGTGTGTCCCAAAAGGTGATGGAATATTCAATCGGCGGTGAAACTCCATCGCTTGCTGCTTGCTTTCCTTTGTATAAATATTTCTCAAGTTTATTCGTACATGACTTTAAGCTATTGCTTGTTTTGGCTACTTCTTTACCACATATAGCATTTATAAGAGTACTCTTACCAACACGCGGTGAACCACAAACGATGATATTAAAATCTTTTGTCATGATTTGAAAACACTTATCTAAAAAAAAAAATATGTATTCAAGTATTTCGTTTTGAAAACAAATAAATATTATTTAAGAAACATATTTTCATTGAAGGATGTTAACACATAAATAAACATTGGTCTAGTATTTTCTATGCTTGCTTGAACATTGGCTCAAGATTAATCTATGTAGAAGTTCGTTTTGTTGTCAAACGCAAGAAAAATTTATAACGTCGTAATTTTGTTAATCCCAAAGAGAAGAAACCAACCATTTTTTGACTAACTATTGTCCAATAGCTACGTCGATGAAGTACAGCGTTACACCAACCAAGTAATTTCTGATCATCTAATGATTGCATGATGCCATGAATGAGTTCATCAATTCCTTGTACTGGCTGTTTTTTTGATGACATTTCTGGATCGAAATATTCAACTGAATTCACCATCGTACAAAGAGCACCTGTACCAAAAAACGATATTTTGTGTGGAATATTAGAATGAATTTGATCCGAATACATATCATTTTGTAGTCCGAAAATTGAGAGTTCATTTTGAAATTCTTCGATTACTTTTTGCCGTTTATTACTAGACCACATATTAGTACATACAAGTGCACAAAAGATACTGTTATCTTTACAGTACAGTAAAACAGGACGAAGTTGAGATAAATCAGCAAATGAACCCGGAGAAGCACAAAAAATGACACAAACTGGATTTGTTTCATTGATTAATTCAAGCATGCCCTTTTCTCCTGCTTCATTACTCCATGATTCGAGACCTGGTGTATCATAAAAATTGACATTAGACGGCGTGATATCAGATGCTTTGGTTTGATCTGCTTCTAACACATATTTTTTGACTTTTTTTGTACACGAAGTCAAGCTTGGACTTGTTTCTGCTAGTTTTTTACCTCCACATAATGCGTTGATAAGTTCACTTTTGCCGACACGTGGCGAACCAATTATAACGATGTTAAACTCGAGCAATTCTATGGCATGATGTACCTCAGGTTTCAAATAATTTTTAAGTAAATCTTTCTCAATCTTGTGAATTTTCGGCTTTAAAAGTTCAGTAGCACTGGTTCCATTGAAATGGTCATTTACTTTTATATTTTCGTCTTTTTCTTGTTCATGCTCAATCGAAGTTATGCTCTCGAAACGAAAGACGAGATAATTCATAGGACTACTTGTAGACTGATCGTCAGATTGTGCACTGTTCAATGATGTTTTACTTCCTACAAAAATGAGAAAGATTTTGGTTATAATTGGTCATTCATTCAGAATTTCAATAAATATATATGAAGTGTAAATATACATCTAGTTCACTTATCCCATTTTTCAAACACATATATAGACCTTATTGTAGTAATATGATCTAATCATTGGATGAAACATTTCTTGCATATATAATAATAATTTCTTAAAAATAATTGCATCTGTTTCATGTTCATTTTTCTACTAGGGTGTATTTTTTTGAAGGAAATATACGAAAAGTTCATATTTAAAATATTTATACTGATGTTTCCTTTCTAATCCACCAAAAATGAAATTAGCTATTATGTAGAATAACAAAATAAATCCTATATATTTTTAGTATCTAACTCAAATGAAGTAAATTCGTAGTTTTCAGCTTCCTACAATAGAAGTATTGAACACACTGACTAAAGTAGAGTTAATATGATAGTTCTACTCAACATCGATTCCTAGTCTTGTGAGGATCAAACAAACACAACTTTCAAACATTAGACATACCTGATCGTACGATCGATTGAGGAACATCAATAAAAGACTTGTCTCTTGCCTCATGAAGTTCTTTCTTTTGGAAACATTCACGACATATCGCATTTCGCCATTCATGTTGCACAAAATTAGAACATGCAGTCATGTTCGTTTTTTTTTCTGAAAAGACACACTAATCAAGGGAAATAATTATTCATTTTTTCTGTAAATTTTTGCTTCGAATTCGATTACAATCTAAAATTTCAAAAGCGACTAGACGAAGGAATTAACCAGATGAAGAGAATATATCCATAAGTTATAATTTAAAATAAAAATAAATTTAAACACTTTTGTGGGACTGATTTAATCCTTTTTCGAAAAATAAAGAATAGGCAAGATCGTCAGCACGTTAACATTCATCTTTTTATTTTCAAAGATAATACAATACTCATATTACAAATCTATAAGAAAGTATCATATTGCTGGAAATTTATCATGTTACTTCCTTTTATAGACACGACAAATAGTGTGTGAGTGTAGTCATGAGTCAGCTTCACTGATTTCTTTTTAACAACGACTCACACCGCAAACATCCACTCATCTCTTTACAATAAATTCAAATTATTCGATTACTTACGGATTGATTCACATTTATGGATATCAATCAATGCCTTAGGCCTTTCTTTTATATTAAAATGTTTTTTTCACAGTTCATTGATAGCAAGAATGTTCTTGAGATCAGGCGGGATTGTTCGTTAGTAAGTAATCATTTTTTCACATTACCTTTTTTTGGCAAGATCATCAGTCTTTCGATTGTCTTTTCTTCTTTAACGTAGATAAATCATTTTAAATTCTCTAATGGAGAACTACCAATATTTCAAATAGAAAGTAAACATTTTTTAATATGAACTGAGACGCTACATCGATAAAAACAACTTTGTTTTTGTTTCTTTTTCATTTTTCTTCTTCTCTCTTCGTTTTTAATGACTTTTTTCTTTCATCCATTCTCGTAATCATCAGTCATGGCAAGCCATATATGTATATGTAAAGTCTGCAGTATTCGATTCTGCGTTTGTCTTTAAATCAAATATTATTTCTAACTAAGAACAATACTTCTGTCTTTTTTCTTATATATTTAATGCTTTCAAACGTTATTCTCAAAGAATAAAGAAAATAAAGCGAAATTTTTATCGAAGGGCCACCAAACAAAATTTATGACGAACGAGACGTGTTTTGAACACCAAGTTTATTTTAAACGAAATAAGGATAAAACAAAATATTTTTATTAAAAAAGAAACAACAGATAGGATTTGGGCAACTTTGTATTGGTGTGAACATCTTTGATTTTGATGCAGCGCCCATTGATTATCAATACTTGAAAATAAATTATGAAATTTCATCAAAACAACACTTGATATTCAGAATAAATTTTTCGAAGCATTTTTGATCAAATTTTGTTTAAAGAAAATCATATTATTCTTTGTAAAGATATGAATCAATGTTTTATTTTATTCTGCTAGGCGAATATTCTCTCAATTCATTAACATCTATTTTTCAACTGTTCTTTCTATTCAATAGACTTTGAGATTATCGCGTTACTATAATGCAATGTTAGAATCATAATCTGAAAGTTTCCAAGCATGGTAATATTAAGAAAACTTCTTTTTTTTTATAAATGAATAAGAAAAGAAATATCACAGATAAATACTATAGAAGTGAAGATAAGTTGCATGGTTAAATGATTAAGCGAAACGTTTAAGTTTATGAAAGATGAGATGAATAACTTGTAGACTTTCTTGAAAACCCTACCATTGTTGCTCATTGTCATTAGCTACGTTGATATTTATGGCAGGATAATCAATGTTTGAATTATGTGTCCGCTGTTGCATTTCGACCAAAGTTTTATCCAAATTAATTGTGGTGACGTCACAAATACTTGTTTCTGGAATATGTTGATTGATATCTGATTGAGGTTTTAGTATTTTCATGAGCTTGAATTGAACAAATGCCGATGAATCGGGTAATATCACGGTTAAATTGTTTGCTAGAGGTTCGATTAAAGGGTTCTCTCTTGGTCGCATCGATTCTGGCATTCGACGTATTGTTACTATAGAACTTTGCTCAATATCGCCATCTATACTGTAAACGATTTGAGTTTCTGGTTCAATATCAAAAGGTCCAGTAACATGTAGTTTTTCAAAGCCATTGAATTGTTGCATAGTAGCACTATTCATGGTTTTAACAGAAACTGCTGATAAAGCTCTATACTCTTCGATATCAGTTATTGGGCTTATTGGTTCCGAACAATTGGAAACAGACAATCTGATTTCCACGTTCGGCGGAGAAATATTGCTCATATTATTGGTACGATACATGGGATTAGGAATGAGATCATCATTGCTTGGTGTATTGGTTGTTAATACTTCGCTAGATGGTATTGTTCGTTCGGAGTTCGGAGTCGTAAGATTTGACTCAAGAGTTCCTTCATCGTTATTTTCTTTATTTAGTTTTCGTTGATGAATTTGTTGAACGAAACACCTGTTAGACAAGAGCACTCCTTTAGCACTTTGCTTTTCAGTAATACTTTGAATTCCTTTAGAACTCCATATTTTCACACTCTTTTGTCAGTGAATCACAATCATACATACACTCCATACGACGATAGATATTCTTCAAAAGTGCTTCAGTATTCTTTCTGAATCAAAAGGTTCCTTCTTCGATATTTCCCCTCAAACCGAATATAATATGGATTTTGTGGCGAAGGGGAGCTTTTCTATAAACGACGCCAAAGTTACATAATTGATCACAATCGCACATGCTAGATATTGTGATTATTGGTCTTCTTTGTTTCTGTTAAACAGTGATATGATATTAGTAGCTTGGTATTTACCAGCCTCATTGAAAAGGATACTCATGAAATATCATAGAAAAACTGTGATGGTCTATTTTAAAACCCAAGATAAAAAGAAAAAAATAACGACGATCCTAGCGAAAATAGTGTAGACAAAGACGAAAACTATTTTGAACTGTTTCGGCATATTTAAAATTACTTCTAATGTCCATTTCAGAGTTAAATGACCGTGGGTATTTTTTGAATAACTTTTGATAGGAACGAGATAGAGATCTGTGGTTTTCACCCTCGGAAAGAGTAGATGAAGACACATCGAGTTATATATAGAAAGATTTTTCTAGTTACATTTCTATAGGTTTTACATAAAGCTTCAAGAAAAAACAGCGTGTTTCTCATGGTCATGATATTAATTTATTGATTTTCAGGAGTGCGCTAGAATCGCCGAAGGAAGGGCTACAATATTATATCAAGACTCTGTTCATAACTACTACCATTATGATATTCAAACCATCGGAACACAATTTACCACATCATTTTTTTCAACAAAATAATCGAAAAATGTAAATTTTTTTAGTATTTTGATAGAAAAGTCATTTTTTTGAAGTAGGAGAAAAATGCAATTCTTTGAAGAATTTTGGCTAAACCTTTAGGAAAGTAGTTAGAAAAATCTTTCTATATATAATTCGATGTGTCTTCATTTGCTCTTTCCAACGGTGAAAATCGCAGATCTCTATCTCGTTCCTTTCAAAAGTTATTCAAAAAATGCCCACGGTCATTTAACTCTAAAATGGACATTAGTAAGTGTAAGATGTGGATCGGTGTGGATGTAACGTGTAGATGGCGGGTCTGTGAAGTGTGGGTAGGCGCAATTGTGGATACGACTTTCATTGCGTGGTTCACGACGCGGAGAAGAATTACAACAGCAGGCACACCCAGTCCATACCCACACTCCAAACGAATTCATAATATCTATGCTTGAATCCTAAACAATGATTAGTTGACCTATGATTGTTGCTCCTTCGAAAAACTGCTCGTTCATTCTTTGAATAACCGAGATCTCTTGCTAGTTCTAACTTTCGTCAATAATCAATCTAAGATCTATTGTCTTTATCAAGAATCAGGAATCAAATAAAAGTTTAAAAAAATTACAATGATAATAAATTAAAGAAAACGACATAATAGCACAAAAACAACTCACCAACTAACAATAGTAGGACCAAGATACCTTAGGAAGCTAGTCAAAATAAAGAAAAAAATATTCTATTTAACATGCAAAAAAAATAAGTAAGAAAGAGCGCTTCTCTGATAATTAACTATAATACAAGGCAATTTATCAGGTATTAGATAATCTTCATTTTTGCATATTTGATATTAGCATAATGAAAGTGTAGCTATGTAAGTTTGGAGCACTAACCAATATAGCCTGTACTGATGTGCTATTTGCTTAGCATTGGCACTTTTTTAGGAAATTTAAAAAACACTTCGTTTTAACTTAATTCATCAAAGACCCAAAGTCGGATTAAAATTATATACAGTCAGATTTGAAATACATCATTTACACTTCGATTCATCGATAAAAGTGCTTCCGTTTTGAGCATACTACGACCAAGTTCACCGGAATACTGGACAACATGGCTAGAGAAAATTTATTTGATTTTGGATTTCTTCATCTTATTATAAAGACCTGCTACAAATAGTATTAGATTCAAAATATGAATTTGGTCTGATTATTTCTTGCTGAATTATGACGGACACAATGAAAAAGGGCCTCAATGAGCTAGTAGAAAAATTGTCATTTTTCGATTTTTTTAATATAGTACAAAATGATTTCATTATTTCAATGACTTGTACCGATAGGAAAAGTACCTTTTCTTGTGTTAAACTATATTTTCCTCGACCACCTCACATACACCATTGTGTGGAAAGTTAGTTCCAATAAATTACCCCCTCGTGAGATCGAAAATTAGGAGGTCTCGCGAGAATTTGAAGACATTCGGAGAAAGTTGATGAAAAACTGTAACATCTGAGGTAAAAACATAGAAGGAAAAAAATATCAGGAGCTTATTCAACTTTATTAATTGAAATGTATGACTATATACTTTTTATTTTTATTATTTTTTCATAATTTTACTTTGAAACTTGACTCAGTGAACATAACCATATCAAGTGAATTATAAAAAGCTGATGTATGATGACTAATCCTATCCTTGAACAAAACAATTGTATCAGAGATAGTCGAAGACAAAGGGTGTGGGTGGATGTAGACGTAATTACGGGTGAAGGGAAAATCTACACCCACATTCAGACTTATATTCACTTATTCCACAGCTCACACTCGATATTTTTATATGACCGAAGTTTCTTTTTTCCATTAAACCTACTTCGATGTACTTTTTCGATATTTTTTCGTTCTGCCAAATCCATCGAAACCTATCAAATTTACATAGTCATGCACTTCCTCTTAATAATCACTCGTACTATTGCTTAAACGTAATTCATTCTTCAAATATAGATGCTGACATAGAAAAAAACCTGATTTTGTCGTAAGAACGAAATAGAAGGATAGTTAAGAAATAGAAATGACAGTATTTGATGATGTCTATTTTTGACATTAGTTTTTATTTCAATGATTGACCATCTAAACGAGAGGACTATGAATTGTAGCAATAATTGTTTGAATAATGGTGTTTGTTCGATCAATAATACATGTATTTGTGCTACATGTTTTATCGGCTCATTCTGCGAGAGAAGTGTTAATGCGCGACAAAACTCACTTATGGCACTTATATTTTGGGATATTCAACAAGCAGATACTATGAATGGTTTTAATTGGCCAAAATTTATCTATGTATTTGTGATTGCATTCATTCTTGTTCTATCATTAATCAATAACATCCTCAGTTTTCAAACACTTATGAGATATGAAATTCGTCAAAGTAATTGTGGTGTTTATCAAATCTTGTTCAGTTTGGCAAGTATAATAACAGTGATAGCTATGCAACTTCGACTGATGACGACATTATGGTTTGATTATTTGACAGAAGCTTATGTGTATCGTTATATTGCATGTAACATTTTACCGGTTATTGAGAAGGCGATGGGTAATTTTTGTATGGGAATAGGCACTTTGTTAGCTATTGAATTTGTTCCTCTTGAATGTTTCAATTTGGATTTGTATCGATCTCGTTGGCTATCAGTCATTTTATCGATTATTGTCTTTCTTGCAGCGTTTAGTTTACGTATTAATGTTTTTATTTATCGACGTCCATTACCTAATCCAAATTGGTCAGGTTCATATCTGTGCAAATATATTCATCCATTACAATTTGAGTACCTCGATAAAATTTATTTTATCTTTCAATTTATTATTCCAACTACAATTCATTTTATTGCTAGTTTTTGCATTCTTATTAGTATAACAGAACGAGTTAGTTTTGTATTTAATCGTCATGACTATATACGAATCTTCTTGGAAGAATGTTTAAAGCGGAAACATTTCTTTGTTCCAGCATTTTTTATTATTCTCTCAAATACACCTATTTTGATTCTTCATCTCAAAGATGGATGTGAAGATATTCGAGATTTATCAATACTTCGTCGACATGTAGCTTTTGGTATTCTTACTTATCTACCACAAGCAATGACATTTGCCATTTATATCTATCCATCACCAAGCTATATGAATTGTTTCAAGAAGTCATGGCCTGGACGAATGCTACACAAAACGTTCAATGGTTGTTGGAGAAAAGAAAAAAAAAACAGCAACACTTAAATGTGCATTTGACCTTTCATCATTCCTTACTTTTACTAACAATCCCAGAAAAGACATATCCTGAAAACATGTATCATAACTGAAGAAATTCAACTGGTTCATACATATTAAACTTTACTATTCTCAGTTCAAATGTAGATTTTAAGAAAAGATTTATTTTCATCATTTGCATGTTAATTCAGGTTGACTACTGAAATATTTTATGAATCATGTTTAGTTGTAGTATGAACAACAAATCATGCTATAAAAGAACATTGAATAGGATGGGATGAGTATAAGAGTGAAAAGAAGATTCATGTCTACACCTACATCCTTACCCACGCCCGACTTGACTAAAATTCTATCTGAATACTTTCGTAAATCAGATGAATTTCGATCATAAAATGTCGTGAAGAATAGTCACCTCTATCTTTTCGTATGATACAATCAAATGTTTCGTCTGATTTGTATGCATTAAAAACGAAAATGTTTAGTTAGAAAATTCTTAGTTACCATACTGCGTTAACATCTTTATCATTATATACATATGTTGTTCGTTGGTAGGAAAGATTTCTTTCTTAAAAAATGAAACTATTGTGGTTTTTTCAAATAAATCGATTTTATAACTGATCTTTATCGAAATGGAAGCAATATCAAGCAAAAACAAAACTTTAGCATCAATTAATAATTGATGAAATTTACTACGATCTATGTTGCCAATGTTTTTTAATTTCATGTTACTTTTATTTTGCTTGCAATCATTTTACGAAGGATCATCGTGATAATCGGAAAGAGTAAACATATTGCTTGCGCTTCACACAAACATTAATAAAATTGGAGAAAAGGAAACAACCTGTACTTTCTATCATGCAAAACGAGAATAGAGAATATTTAACAATCACTTTTCTTTTTTCCTGATTATAAGCTTGTTATATTTTATTTATTCAATGAAACTATTAATGTGACTTGCTTTCTTTCTAAATGCATAGACAAAATGTCTATGAGTTAGTATTTTCATACGGTGATATTTTTTTGTTTTTATCAAGATGAATTTAATATCGTCAAGGATCTATCAGAGTTAAAAAAAATTTTCGGTATTATATATTGACTAAAACAAAAAACTAATGCCTTGTATGGATTATGCGTTTTATTTCTAATGTTTATTCCATAATAAAACTTTTGATCGACAAGAAGACACAATAGATACAAAATATTTCTCATTAATTTCTTCCTTAACTTTTTTATTTTGATATGGCATGCTCTTCCTTTTTCATTAGTCATTCTGTTATGGTAAGCACACTTTTTGGTTTTTTTCTCTCTCGTCGCCATTCTATTAATTAGGAGCAAAAAAAGGTGAAGTCACATTTTGCTCTTCGTTTTCATTTATTTTTGTTGACTGTATCAATACATCGAAACTTACTTATTAATCGTTCTTTTATCTTGGAAAAATTATTTTAGTATGGCAAGATTTACTAAATCAGATGGTGTCAGTGCTCTAGTGCGTGATATAACTGGGGTGGCTGAATTCACCATTCAGATTGGTCATCAAAATGGAACACATATGGAATATTTACCATATCCTGATAATAATTTTCATGAAGATGTTGATGCATATCATCAAAGAAGTTTGTATAGATATTTTTTGTTTCGATCAAATTGAGTTTTTTGTTTTTTGCTTTTGATTTAGCTGGTAAATTTACTATTGAACATATACATTGTCGTAATGGACAAGCATTCGTTCCTAATGTTCAAGTTCACGTTAAATCCATTACGTCTGAACGTACTCATGCAGGTTTTATAGAATGTCATCATACATATTTGTAGATTTAACTGTTCAACACTTTAAATTTTTTGATTTATGAATTTATTTGTTTATAGATACCATATAACAATTGAGCATGGGTGTTTTGAATGGTCTATTGATAAGTTTTATCGAGATTTTCATGATTTACATAGAGCATTGATGAATTTCTCTAATGTACAAAAAAGAAGATCAATCAGTGATCTGGAACCGTATGTATAAAATATAATAATAATAATAATAAACATAACAGCTTCATGAGCAAATATTTTCTTTTTTAGAATTCGAGATAATCTCTTTTTTTTGTTGTTATTGTTTATGAAAGAAGACAAATAGCATACTATTTCATATAAAGTAAAAGTTCGAAACCTATATTAGAACTGTAATAAGAAAATTTCTCTCAGAATACAAGAGAAGCTTGTACTGTATATCTTCGAAAAAGATCTGAAAATAATTGATAGTTTTCTAATGACTTTTGTTCTTTGATATTGTGAAATGAACTGATAAAGGGTGTTGCGGAAGTTCTGAAACGATTTTAAAATTTATCGTTCTCGCATTCAACAAATGCAAACTTTTTGAAACTTTGACATATTATTGCACATATGTAGAGGCACATAACTACAAAGTTTGAGATCTATCGGTTCTACTGTAGAGAAGAACCTGTAGCAACACTATGATGTACTATTTTTAACATTTTCCTGTATTCCGGGTCTACCAAAATATCTATATTTCGGCTTACGTAGATGATAAAATCTTGAATTTGTTTTTAAAAGATGCGCCGTAAAAAGCTCTACAAAAATTGTAATAACAAATCCCTATTGACTTGTGTTAATGGTTTCTGCCATACTCAAAATGAAAAACCTACATGATGGTACTACTTCTCACCATATTGTGCGTAATAAAAAATGTTTGGAGGAACTTTTTGTTTTGCATGTATTTCAGCTTGAAAAAATGATAAAATCTTGATTTCTTTTTCAAAAGATGCACCGTCGAAAGCTCTACAAAAGCTATATAAACAAATTCCTATTGGAAAGCAGAAAGGTCTTCCAAACCTTTTTTTATTACGCATAATATGGTGAGAAGTAGTACTACCATGCAGGTTTTTCATTTTGAGTATAGCAGAAACCATTAACACAAAGTCAATAGGGATTTGTTATTGCACTTTTTATAGAGCTTTTCACGGCGCATCTTTTAAAGAAAAATTCAAGATTTTATCATTTACCTAAGCCAAGATATAGACGAAATAAAAAAATGTTGCACACCTCGAAGATGACCAGGAAAATTTAAAAAATAGTACATGTCAGTGTTGTTACAGTTTCTCATCCATAGTACAACCTATAGATCTCAAACATTGTAGTTATGTAGTACTATATATGTACAACAATCTACCAAAGTTTCAACAAATTTGCTTTTGCAGAATGCGAGAACGATGAATTTTAAAATCGTTTCAGAACTTCCGGAACACCCATTATAAATTCGATTGAGTAATAATATTTTCAATTTATAGAGATCAAGATGAAAATGATCGATATCCATGTTTTCCAACAAAATATGATCGAATTGTATATGTCATGGATAATATTGTTGGCGAACGTTGTGTAAATTATAAAATGAAATTTTGTTTTTAATACTATGATTTTGTTTCTTCTTGTATAGGCTATTCTTCGCGATTATCTCAATAAAGTTCTTCAACATCCTAAATTTCGTACACATCAAGCAACGGTATGAATTCAAAAATTTTAACATATAAATTAATTATATAAATAGTATTTATATGTATACTATTTTAATATGTATTTAGTGTGAATTTTTCAATGTAAGTTGTTTATCACATATCGATGGCTTATCATCAAGTCGAAAAGAAGGTTACCTAATAAAACGATCTAAAGATTATTATCATGATGGGTATAATTTCTTTCGTCAATCATCTTTTGCTGATTCATTTATAGATCATCGTGATCGAAAGTATGCATTTCTTTTTCTTTTTTTTTTTTTACATAAATTATATATTGAATAAAAATTTCTTCATTGTTTTTAAATATAGATGGTTTATTATTAAAGATAGTTATATAGTTTATATGCGACCAGATACATATGAAGTAGGATTTCCAATGTTAGTTGATCATAATTTTCAAATTATAAATGGTCTTCGTCATGTTGGAATTCATCATGGTATTAAAATAACAAATTTACAACGTACATTAGTTGTTAAATGTCAAACAGCATATGATTGTGAAGAATGGATGCAACATTTAAAAAATTTAATTGAACAAGCAAATAGTTTTTGTGGTCCAACAGTAAATCGATTTGATTCATATGCACCTATTCGAGAAAATCAATTAGCTTATTGGTAAAAATTAATAAAAAAAAATAATTTTTTGTATTCAAATAGAATATTTAATATAGGTTTATTAATGGTAAATCATATATGGAAGCTGTTGCTAAAGCACTTTTAACAGCTAAAGATGAAGTTTTTATTACTGATTGGTGGCTTTCACCAGAAATTATGATGATAAGACCAACAGATGATCAAACATATCGTCTTGATAATATATTAGGAAGAATAGCTGTACGAAGCTGATTTATTTTATTATTTATGTCTTTTCAATTAGGTTTTTTTTGTTTTATAAATTGTAGGATGCAGGAGTTCGTGTTTATGTGATGGTTTTTAAAGAAATCAAACATATTATATCTTTGAATAGTTTACATACAGAAAAAACATTAATTTCTAAAAATAAAAATGGATTTATTAAAGTTAGTTTAACATGTTAATGAAAAATAACTTAAATAATTCATATAAGTTTAATATCTAAGGTTATTCGACATCCAAGTCATACTACTACGAATGGAGTACTTTTATGGACTCATCATGAAAAAATGGTTGTCATTGATCAAAAGATTGCTTTTGTCGGTGGAATTGATTTATGTCATGGACGTTGGGATGATGAATATATGCGGTGAGTTTCATGCTTTTGTTTGCAAGTATATCATGCATTTATCTTTAACAAAAAAAGAAAAAGCATACATAACAATTTTTCATGTATCTAGGGCAAAATATATAGTATCTGTTAAAGTACTTAGCACATCGATATCAATGTTTGCTGCAATATTGAAATAGCGTTCTGTATTTCATCTCTGTAGATAGTACGAAATTTGAATATTGAAAACTAATTGTTTTCATTTTCGATGATTTTTTTTTCTTGAAAAGAAATATTCTTATGAACGATTTTAGTTTGAAGGTGATTAGTCAAATTCTACAAATAGTTAAAAAAAACAGCTACTGACTAAATTTTCGTTTTTTTAAATGTAACGTAATCAAAAATGAATTAACATATATAAAGAATTTGTTTTTTTCAAGCAAATATTGTATTAAGACTTTTTACTTTTTGGATTTCTAGTCTTGTCGATTTGGGCGATGAAAATGATACAACATTGAACTCACCATTTCAAATACCTGAAGAAAACGTAACGACCGGCGAAAGAAATATAGCAGAAGCAGCACAAAGAAATATGACACAAATGACTGAACAATCTGATGCAATACTTATTAACGTAAGGCAATCTAAAAAAAGAAATGGTTCTTAAAATGATCAAATATGTCAATCGTATCAGTTGAAAAATAGTATTAGTAAAATGCATATTATAATTTATCAGCGTTCAATTCTGAAAAGATTTTTGGATTTTCAAATACCAAAATAATTGAAAAAAAATACTTTTTTCATGTAAAATTTTTATAAGAGAATATGAATTATCGAATGATTGTTTCTTTACTAATATCAAATAACGAAATATCTAGAACGAAAAGAAGTTGAGGATATATCTTTTGAGTTAATGCGAGTCGAATCATAGACATACGACTTATTTCAGACATAGTGATCTTTAAAAAAGTTATTTTATTTTATATAAATAATATTTATGAATCTATTCTAGAATGGTAATCGTTTGATAGCAGCATTGGGAGCTCAATATGAAACAAATGGAAACATTAAATCTACTGATTTAACTTATACACATAGAACCGAACGTTGTATGAAATCAATAGCTAGCAAATGTAAATAATTCCATTTTTCTAAACATAAATCGTATTGATTATTATTATTATTATTTAATTATCAAGGGAAACAATCCAAATTGATAGGTAAGACATAAATATCATTTCTTATCCATTAGACAAGAACATCAGAAGATGATTGTTCTAAATTGAATTGCTATTCTTCTATATTCACATATTTTCATTATTTCAATAGGAGCTGATGAAAATGAAAATGATAGTGAATCAAATAGCGGTAAGAATGAATATTTTACATCTTTAATACATATATTACTAATCAACAATAATCAAAAGTATGAAAGGTCTTGCATTGATGTTATTTAAATAAAAAAACTGGATATCATTTCTGTTGTTTTTCACTTCAAAGCTTTTATTAGTTTTGTGCTAGAGCTCGAATAACTATAGAAGAATACAATTTGAATTTTTCTTTGAATATTGAAGATGAATCAACAACATCTGACGAAAGCATATCTAAACACGACAAAAAAGCTACTAGACGGCGACGACGAAAACGATATGCTGCAAAATGGCGACAATTAGTTCAAGTAAATAATAAAATAAATAAACCATAAAGGATGTGGGTGTTCTTTAGATTACCTACGCTCATCAGTACCCAATTAGCTTCTCTTTGTATACATATCTATAGCATTTGAAATTGATGGTCTTTTTTGAAAATGTTATAGAAAGTCAAAACTATCTAATTATCTCATTCAAAAAAAGTTATGAATGTATAAATGTAAACAAAATTAATTTTTTATAGTGAAGATCTTGTGAGTTTGCCAAATAGTCTAAACACAAATTTACAAAAAAGAATTCAATTCTGATTAGAATTATTTAGTTTTAATTCTATATTTGTAACTAATCGATGATTGACTTAACATATTTAGAATGTGCGAATAAATAGTGAAGCTTCTGATGATGAAGAGACTGTCGAAGAACAACAATCTATTATGAGTTCAACATTTGCAGCTAATAGAAAATATCGATATTTTATTGGAAAAGATTATTCAAATGTATATCAACAAGATTTTAAAGAACTTGATAATCATAGTAAAGGTAATTAATCCTTCGTTGCTTTTTAATTTGTTTTATATATTTTTATATTTGATGATATTAATAGATTATATTGATCGAAAATCAGTACCTCGTATGCCATGGTATGATGAAGCACTAGTTGTATTTGGTCAAGCAGCTCGTGATGTTGCAAGACATTTCATTCAACGATGGAATATTCATAAAGTAAGAAAGAAGATTTTTTTTTTTGAATTTTTCTAATCTTAATTTTTGATTTTGTTAAGTATGAAAAAAAATTAAACAATAATTCATATCCATTTCTATTACCAAGAGCTTATGATGATGAACAAGATTTAACTATTAAAAATTGGAGAGATTTTCTTGAAAATAAACCGTTTCGTGTCAATGCTCAAGTAAATTATTATGTTAAAATATGATTCTTTATTGAATATTACATATAGTGTGTTCGTTCCGTTGGACTATGGTCAGCAAGAATGAAAACACCAGAATCTTCTATTCAAAATGCATATATACAAATGATTGATGCTGCTAAACATTTTATATATATTGAAGTAGATTAATATTGACAAAAAAACAAAAATCATTTTTTTAATTATTATTTTTGCATTTAGAATCAATTTTTTATTACTATTGCTAATGATCGACAAGTTCAAAATGAATTAGCTGATGCTCTTTTTCGACGTATACAACAAGCACATACGTATACGAATTATTCTTTGTTATATAGAATTTGAAAGTTTTTCTTTTTCTTTTTTTTTTCTTTAAAATTAGACAAAAACAAAAATTTCGTATTTATGTTGTTCTACCTCTTCTTCCTGGTTTTGATCGACTCGATGCTTCAAAAGCTATACTTTTTTATATCATGCGTTCGATAACTAAAGGTGATAAATCATTGTTTAGTCGACTACAAAAAGCAGGTAAATTGATATTTGTCTTCTTCTTGTTTAATATAAGATATAAAATTTAATGCGAATACGATTTACAATTCAATTTTCAATCGCAGTAAAAATTTAATCTTACTAGCAATCAACGATATTTTTACAATAATAGTAGCATGGTTTTAGCTACAATGAACATCTATGAATTAATGAATAATTACAAAAAAATAATCTCATATTTCTCTATTTGTAATTGTTTAGGTATTCCACCAAGAGATTATATTAATTTTTTTGGTATGCGTAATCATGATATTCTTATGGGTCGTTTAGTAAGTAAAATATATTATTAGTAAAATAATTTAGATAATTTTTTTGTTATATTAAGGTAACTGAAATCATATATGTTCATTCAAAATTAATGATTATTGATGATCGTATGGCTATATGTGGTAGTGCAAATATCAATGATCGTTCATTACTTGGTGAACGAGATAGTGAATTATGTATGGTAATAAATGATGTTGAAGAAAAAGATAGTCGATTTAATGGACAATCAGTTCGTGTAGGAAAATTTTGTTCAAGTTGGCGTCGAAGAATTTTTAAGTATGTTTCAAAATAAAAATTATAATAATGATTTATAGACATATGTTTGACTTTTTTTAAGGATGTTATTAGGTATTCAATATGATAATCCAAATAATATTGATGTAACTGATCCAATATCAGATGAATTTTATTCTTATTTTCGTAATGTAGCGAAAAAAAATACGCTCATTTATGAAAAAGTTTTTGCTACAATACCAACTGATCATATTAGAAGATTTTGTCAAATATCTGCATATAATAAAATGACAACAATGAACAATACTGATCCAATACAAGTATATAGATATATATATGCGAATATATATATGATAGAATTTTCGAATTATATTTTTTAAGGCACAACAAGAATTGAAAGGTATTCAAGGTTTTGTTGTTGAATATCCACTTTACTTTCTTGATGAAGAAAACTATTTACCTAATATGACATCTCTCGAAGGTGAGAATTTTATTATTAATGATGGTTTTAAATAGTCATCACTGAATGAATCCGGCCATTCAACCTATCAATTATCTATTATGCCATTTTTTTTTGTTTTAGGCTTGGCTCCATTGAATACATGGACATAGAGTATTTTATTATTACAAGTATAATTGTGTAAATTAAAAAGAAACAAATCGATTAACATCATTGTATTGAGATAATATTTTTATTTAATTGAAGATAACTTGTTTTATGTATATTTTCAATTGAATATCTGTTGAATTTATGGAATAATTTTGTTTTATAGTTCGCGATCCTTTTTTGTATAATATGTCTTTATTCCAGTTTTTTTTTTGTATTTGTATTAATGTTCTATATTATTTATCTATTTATTTAACTATTCAATTATTTTATTAATCAGGAATAATTGTATTTTTTGTTACATATATATATGTACTGTAATGCAATTTTGGTTTTTGTATTAAAGTATAAACCAATGGGAAGAAGTATTGCCATACAAAAATCTATGTGTCGTTTTTTGAAACATTTTTTGCAGACAATACTGGTAAATTCTATTTTCGTCGGATGAATTTATCACCGAAAACAAATATAAGTTGAATTGAATCCGTCATATAGACAACAATTATATTTTAGATAATTAGTCCATGACACCAAGTTAGTTAGACCACACGTGAGATGGCTTCCAAGTCGGTTGAATTGACTATCAACTCAGATGAATATCATCTGACTTGAAAGCCATCTCACGTGGGATGTAATTGACTTGGTGTCATGGACTAATTATCTAAAATATAATTGTTGTCTATATGACGGATTAAATTTAACTTATATTTGTTTTCGGTGATAAATTCATTCCGCGAACTTTATTTTCGACGAATTTCTTTCGGTGAAAATTTACGTACATTTAGATTAATTATGTTTGATTAATTGATCTTACGATTATTTATTATTTTTATTTCAAGAAATCATCAAGAAGGCTGTTCATTATTTGTCTTGCTATATTAATTGCTATGATAATTTTCATTGCTTAGTTGCAAGTTTCGACATTAAAACTGTCTTGTCAACATTAATTAAATATTATTGTTGCCATTGAGAAATGACAAGATAATCATTAACAAAATAATTAAAAAAAAAACATTTTTTTTGTATTCGTTTTTGATGATCTATTCCATTTACTATACAAATTCATGAACAAGAAAGAATAGAATCAAATATTTATAATTAATCTCAAATTTTTAGTCACGATCACGAAAGAAAACTATGTTTAGCAATTTTTAGGAGAAATTGATTATTGCTTGACAGTACTATCTAGTGAGTTTTACTTTGATTGAAAGATATACGTGTCGAAAATTAAAATACGAGATAAACATGTGAAAGTAAGAGTAAGGGTGAGTGAGAGGAGATTTTTTTTCATACCGCAACTAATATAAAGTTTAGTAAAAGATGTGAAATATACTGAAGCTGTGAGTCTTCTCTTCAACAACATCAACACTTACATCTACTTCCTAAAACAGATAACAAAAAACAGCGAGAAGATTTGTTATATTCATTCTTATTGGACCAATAAGATATATTGCTACGTTACTGTTAAAATTTTTTCTTTATATCTGTTTTTTTGGTTTGTTTGTTATAGTTATTATATCGTATGAGTATATTTTTCGACTTCTATCATTTTAAACATTCTCTTGATTGAAAATCAAATACTGGTATATAAACAAAAAGATTACTCCAACTTTGATGTTTATGTTTGTTTTTCTCATCAAGAAATGTAAGCCAGATATTTTTCGTTTAGCTTATGCTCATGATAAGGTAAAGTGTTCAATGGTTGAGAAACAGTTTTTGAAAGTGAACCTTTGCGTATGATGTTAGTGAGTAAAAAAAGTGACATAAATAGAAGAAAAAAAAGATTTTATGAATGTTCATTGTCATCATCATCGTTTGGTTGTGGAATCAGTTGAAGTGGATGTTCATGACCTTTCTTTTCACAAGCCGAACAAAGATCATAGTTACTGCATGTTGAACAATGATACCGTTGACCAATGATTGATGTCATGTGACATTTATCACATGATATGTGTGACCATTCGAACTCGTCTGCCGGCGGACGAGGTAGTTTTTCACCCTTAACCCAAGTCTTCAAAGCTTCAACTCCTTTACGTGATACTTGATCGCAACCGTGACGTGTCAAAATATTTCCATCAGTCGAGATAACTATGAGTGATGGAATGCCTAAAAGAACCAAGAGAGAGTGTGCGTGTGTGTCAATGAAAATAAACATAAAAACATTTACTCACCTAGACATTGAAAGTAATCCTCGAGTACAGCTAATGAGTTGAAAGGAACGGCAGGCCAGGGCATTTCAGCACGATATTCATCAAACGAAGTTATATCTCGATCACTTGAAAGAAAGACTAATGAAAATGGATGACCACTATCTTGAGCTTCTTTGTAGAACTTAGCCAGTTGAGGTGTAAATTCACGGCAAGGTGGACACCAGTGTGCAGAAAAATATAGTCCAATACTTTTGACACCATTTTTCCACAATGAATTTGTTTCAAGTTGACCTTCATTATTGGGAGCAAGTAAATATGGTACTGATGCAAATAATTGTTTCAAAGTATAACGATGTTCGGGAAAGAGATATTCAACGAGAGGATGTTTATGAGTATTCTTCGACATGCATGCTTCACACAGATTAATATTACACTCTTGATGAGAACAACCATAACGTCGACCGACTAATGGACGCATATGACATTGAGTGCAGACGATATTATTCCAGACAGGTTCGCCTTCATTAGGTGTACGCATCCAGAAAGGAGATTTGCCTTGAGACCATAAGTGCAATGCTTCTATGCCTAGTGACTCAACTTCTTCAACACCGTGCGAAGTAAGAGTGTCAGATGATGGAGACAGAACAATGAGAGATGGAATACTTTCGACTTTGAATATCTCACCTAATTTTAGTGAACGTTCACGTTCTAAAGAATAGAATTTTTTCAGAAAAAACAGCTTCTCCAATTATAATTGAGTCTAATTAGAAGTTGAATGATGAAATTTATTCTGTTTAAATAATTGCTTTTGCACTCTCAATTCTATTATTTCGATTAGTTTTGAATGTTTTTTCGTCATTTCAATGAAATGATTTTGATTAATTTTACATGATTTATTTCGTTTGTAATTCTATAAAATATTTTTTCAAAATAGTCGTCTAAAGTGTCTATTTCATAAGTAGAAATTTCATGTTTTTTTTTAATTACAAACTATTTCCTAAATGCTTTAATCGTCCGTTCATAAGATAAGATAAATTTTTCAAAGAAAAAAATATACAAACATTCAATTGAATTCTCCTGAATAAACTAGAAAAAGGTGCACTTGCTCTAGTCTTGTCCTACAGAGAAAAGAATCATCTGAATTCTTTTCTTTTGTTCTATTGGTAGATGAGGTTTTCGAGGTATTCATAGCTTTTTACTGCTAAACAAGTTCGAAAGACTGTTTATTTCTGAGAGACAATATATATATACATTGAATAGTAGTACTGCTTTCGAGAAAGACTTTTCTCTTCAGTTCTTTGTGAAGAGAAACATGAAGAAAGAAAGTCACTATGACATCAGTAGAGTGCTATTTTCCTTTTTTGCCACTTCATTATGTTACACACGTACCCGAGAAAGGTATTGCTTTCCATGGCATTTCTTTGAAATATTTATCAAATTCAGCTTGATTTTCATCGTCCGAAATAAAGACAATATCCATTTTGTCTTGTACTTCGTTCTGAAATTTCTTGAAGATTCTTGCCAGTTTTGGTGTAAAGTTGCGACAAGGTAGACACCAATTGGCTCTAGAAGAAAAATTGAAATTATGATTGATTTATTAAAAAATAATCAACTAACGAGAAATAGAGTGCGACTATTTTGCCATTGAGTTGACTGATCGATACTTCTTTTGGTTCGTTGTGTTGAAGCAATTGTTCGCCAAGTAGTTTGTTCAATGTCACTGCCATGTTTTAGTCAACAAACTTGAGAAACAAAAACATAAAATTACTCCGTCCTCTTATACAGAAGAAAAAGAAAAGAGTGCTGCATATTTTCTTTTCAGTTGTGAACCATGCATGAATCAAATCGCGTTTCTTCTTCTCTAAGCAACCTTTGCATCTTTTCTTGCTTTTCTCTCAATAACGACGTTGGTATGATTGTTTTCTGTAGCAACATGTATCCCGTACATGACGATTTCTATATGAGAAAAACAGCTCATTATTTCGACTAGAAATACAATGCAATCGAATGGAGATTTGAATAAGTGATTCTCTTACATGCTATTCTTTGATGTTGACGATTATGATACCGACTGTAACGTTTCGACAATGATGATAATCACATTAGTACGATGCACAAGTCATTAAATCGAAATTAAAATTTTTGAATGAAAGAAAACTAGCTATAGTGAAATGAGATTTCTGCAGATGATGAATCAATAGTGTTCTATTCATAATAATTTCGAATTCATTCTCAATGATGAAGCTTTCGACCGATATTTATAAAACAACTACTACTGTATACAACACACTTTTACTCATTATTTCGAGGATGTTTCATTACTCAAAAATCAGTCCAGCCTATTCAAAAGTCGAACAATTTAATTTATCCACTGTAAAAATTCCAATCGATAGTGTTCAGTTTTATTTCACACTAGATCTCTTTTTTTCTTCTGAATTTTGACGTTCAGTTATTGTTTCACCATAGAAAGATAAATCAACTTAAAATGTACGTCTAATATATCACTGTGACAATTCGATCAACGTTATATCAACCGTGTTAAGTTTTTTTTTATTAAAATCAGCTAAAAATCAAAAAAAAATATTTTCCTAATTATCATATGGTTTATTAATTGAGAGTGTTATATCATTCGAAAATACAGTGACTGTTTATGTACTTCGTCGACAAGCTACAGCTTTAATTAAACGTGAACATCGCCGAAATAAACTTGCTGGTATTTTTATTGATCCGCACATACTTCTAAAAGAAATAAAAACATGAAACATCATTTTTGTTCTCAAAGGTTCTAACGCTAATGATTGTTTTAAATATTGACGAAATAGATCAATCTATGCAAGGTTTTAAAAATGAAAACATATTATGTATATGATCGATATCAATATTTTAAAGGATACTTATTATATCAGTATATCGCTAAAATGATGAAATTGATCGCGTAATTTCGAAAAAAAAAGATTTAGCAGAGAAATGTCGTTAGTATTGCAAAAACAATAATATTGAACACAAAAATAGACAACTTTCTTCAAAACTATGACTCATCCGGTGTGATGCTGTATTACACTCGTGATTGTTTCCTTGAACGTCTCTTAAATAATGTATTTCGGCGTGTGGGTGGACATGGGTGTACGTCTTCTGTTTACTCACCTTTATACAATACTGACACCCTAAATGTATGCTAGAAACTTTAGTATTCCTTTACTAAATTGGTAGATATTGTTGTCTGATCTACACTTTGACTAATCTGGTCGCTGTGTTAAGGAGGACATCTTTCTTAAACTCGTTTTGATAATCAGTGTTGAAAACGTTTTTTACAAAATCTGATGATATTTCAAAAGCACGTGTGTAGAGTGCAGTTTTCTGTCTTAGTTGGACCATGACTTATCATAATTCTGCTCTTCTCAACAGTTTATAGTAATTCACATTTGCAACATTCAAGCGAATTTAGAGATACATCGATTTCGTTCATAATGATGATCATCTCCGGCTTTAGAACTAGAATCGTTTAGAACTGCAACAGGAATCTATATTAGAATAATTGATACCAACATACTCACTTAAGTGAGTAAATTCGTATCAGTTTTTTAAACAATGACTCTGATCAGTTCTGACTGACTCTTATTTTGTGGATAATTAGGGTAGAATAAACGTCATTCAAGATATTTTTTAAGAATTGTTTGCCTTCAATGTTATAGAATAATTGTCACAGCTTATCTCTCTATCATGAGGCATTTTAGCTTAGGATAGTTTTCAAAGATGTTGTCAAACTCTAGTTATCAATGAAATTTATTGTATCTTTCATAAGCTAAGTAATCCAAATAAAAACAGTTTATTATTTACCATTGATTTTATCAATTATGGCTTGTTCTATGGATACAATCGGATCGTTCCAATGGGCATTTATTCCAACATTATTCAGCCTCTCCATCAGTCCTTCGTCAACGCCACGGTATAAAAAGTTTTGTGTTGAAAGTGCTTCTGGTCTATGAAAGCTTGTAACACGCTCTCGGGATTGCATGACCTTTGTGTAGACACGCTTTAACATCCGATCTTCATACTGGTTGATTGCTGCATGCAAGTCTAGATTATTCTGTGCGATAATGTCTGCTAGGTCAACAGCATCCAAAAGAGCTTGATTGGCACCTTGACCTTTGAAAGGAGACATTGGATGAGCAGCATCACCAACAAGTGCAATTTGAATACCGTCCTTTTTTGAGTCTGGCAGAGATACTACATCTCTGTCAAATGCTGGTATTCCCATTAGCAGATCTAGTTGTGTTTTTTCGATCATTTCAGGTATTGGTGAGTGCCAATCAGCACATTTTTCCAGTAGCATCTGCTTCAACATCTCTGGATCTCGTGATAATTGAGTTGCTAAGGTTAGATTCACAGGAAAAGAAAGCTGCCACATTATGGACTGTTCTGGTTTGGATTTCGAAAATGGCATAGCAAAAAGCCTAAAGCATCCATCCATAGTTTGAAATACACGATCTTTTATAAGAAAATGATCGATGCGTCCAGTAATTCCCAATACCACCAATATACCCAAATAATTTAATGGAGTATCTGTAAGAGGATCATATTTAAAAGAACGTACTAGACCATTGATTCCATCAGCTCCAATAATCAAATCAACGCCAGTTACTGTATGGCCGTTGTTAAATGAAACTTGATGTGACATACGGTCAATATGGACAATACGATGATTCCATTGAATACCTTGAGAACCTAGTGGATGCAATGAAACGTATCTGTTCATAAGGATTCTTCGTAATTCTTGTCTTTCAATGTGTAAATTATGTTTCTTCCTAGATTTTGGCTGATTGTCCTCTTCTGGCCAAAATACAGTTCCAAAAAAACCGATCATACTTCCATATTTGTCAAAAATGTAATGTGATCTAGAAGGAGTATCTAGCGAGTGTACTTGCTGAAATACTTGTAACCGTTTCAATGCACTGATTCCTTGCAAAATTGTCAGTCCATAACCTTGACGTCTACTGTCCATTCCTATGTCTCGTTCGTACACCATAACATCTGTATATCCATGCTGCAATAACCCGATTCCCACGGCAAATCCTCCAAGACCACCACCAATGATCACGATTTTCATCCCAAGAATAGATCAATCTGAAAAAAAATAAAAATAAACTCCTGTCGCTTCCTCCTAGATGCATTCAATGAATAAATGAACTGAACATGTGTGGTCGAAAGATAGGCAATTCTACTTTAATACAATCACTAGAATAAGTCTATGGAAAAAATCAGATGAATTTAAGATATCTAAAGAACTTTACAATTCATCTTCTCTGGTCCAATCACGAAAATGGTACGAATATGCTGAAGTCAATGAACGAAAATACCATTGTAATCCTATAACTAAAATACATACTGGCAATTCTTCAAACACAAATATTTTTCAATGTTTTTTAGTTTTTAGCCTCTCAACTAGGACCATCAATATATCGAAAATTCACCAATTTCTCCCATGAAAAGGCCGAAGAAACATTCATGCAACTACCCATTGACAAAAGCATAGATCAATCCTTGAAACAAAAACAAGTACTTCGGGAAAGCACTAGCCATCCGACTTATTCCGCTATAGACTGTATGCTGAAACGACATGCACTTTGCACCAAATACTTGTAAGAGAGACCCCAATAGGCTAAATTTACGAATTAATTTTTGAAATCCTTGATACACATTTCTCTGCTCCAGTCTGACAATTATGCTTGGATAAAGAGACCCATAAACTGACGAAAGTTTGTAGAGGCACTTAGATCTAAGAAACCATGAAAAGCACTTCAACCTGACCATAAACAGGAAAAACTATGGAAAGCCATGTTTTTAAAAAAGAGAAAGAAAAAACGACAGCTTGGACGTGATATAAGCTACTAGTTGATTCCCTTAAAGGAGACGAATGACATTTGAAACCCTATAACCACATCTTACACAGAAAAATACATACCAACAATAGAAAATATTCTAGAAAAAATATTACAAGCCTTATGACAATTGCAATACTCTTTAGACGAGTATGTCGCTAAACTAGTTGAAAGAATTGACTATCTCACAATCATATATTCATTTGAAGCAAATGTTTTGGGATACTTGAATGGCTTTTGAATCTGTCTACGAGGAAAATTTCAGACGAACATCTCGAAGATCGCTGTTTATTACTCATAAGTAGACCCCGACTTTGAGAATTCGAACAATAGATCTTTCTCCTACTGAAAAGACATGTTAATACTAGAAACAACAACTTACTTATTGACTTTGACAGAGCAATGTTGGTAAGAATTTTTTTCAAAACAAGCAACACCAATAATAGATCAGCTAAAATAACAGATATTAATATTCAATATTTCGAAGAAATTAGTAGCTGAGTGTCGAAAGATTTCACGGGTACAAATGAAAAACCACGTGTTATTTTACGACACACACAGAAAAATAGAGCTTGTCGACAGATGAAGCTGTAAGAAAGAAAAGAAAAATAAATCGATATGGAGTCATACGGTCATGTATGAAAAAATGGGAAAGAAAAAAAAGTAACAGAACGAAAGAAAGAAATCCAACAACAATGATGAAGGAAGAAAGAAAGAAAAATGACGGCGATTTTGTGTTCTTTCTTTTTTGCGTTCTTGTATTAGTGTGTTGCCCGATTGATATGGCTCCATTTTCTTTCTTCTAGTGTTAGTGTTTTTGATCTTGTTTATCAAGAACAAAAAAAACCGAGTATGATTGTTATATAGCTTTTTGCTTGACAAGGCATGTTTCGGACATAGATCAGGTATGTTTTTCAAGTATGTTTCATATAAAAGAAAGGCTCCATCGTGATGAAATGACTAGACACATTTTTTGTCCTCATCATGGTTGAATTCGAAACAATAACAATTAAATAAAAACTTACAGAGATGTTGAATTCAATATCACTCAATTATTCTAAATGTGCACATTGGTCGTCTATTTCTTAAATGTGGCTTTTCGGTAATACAACGATTATTTCATGCAAAGATAGATAAAATATAGTAATTACATGAGTGAAAAAGAAAATAATGAAAGTAAAAGTAAAGCAATCTGGTGATTATGCCATTTTCTTTCAAAGGATGATTCTAATTGTTTATTGCATTAAAAAATATCCTAATATCAGACAGTTGTAGAAAACCATTTAGTTCGACGTTCTGAAGAAATGGATATTTCTAGAGAAAGTATATTTCCTTCAGCTATCCTCAGATTAATTATACAGTCAAGTCAAAAAAGTCTGAAGTTTTTTATAACCTCAGTTTCGATAGAAGATTCTAACAAGGTTATTAAAAGTTCATGCTATTTTTTACTATATTACAACTTTTTTCAGTACGCCAATAAAACATGTCTTGAATTTATAGTCAGCAAGTATACTTGACACATTCGAATCTGATCAGTTTTCGTTGTCTACGCTAGGCATCGATTCACGGTAAAGCAACTGAGAGTGTAGGTGATCGTGTGAGTAAAGTGGATAAGGAGATCTATGCACACACGCACGATGATAAATGAAAACGAGATGTAGAGCATAGATACATAAATTATAATTTAATTCTCTATTGATGTCTCGACTGTAGAATAGATCGAAGCGTGAGCGATGACTAAATGAAAAATACATCATGTCAAATACTCAGATCAAATCTTACGAATTACTTGTGAATATGAGAATTCAATAATATGATGAAAATCAAGAACTTTCTCAATCTGGATATTTCAAAAAAAATGTTTCGTTCGAGTGGCACTGAAAAATATCTTTTATTTTTATTTTGCATCAGAAACATCTCTTGAATGTTTGAAGAAAAACTACTTACCCATTTGTACAGTGTCTTGTCGCTAGTGTCGAATTCGTCAATCAACCTACTCGAACGCTGATAAATACCTTGTTTTATGTCAGTGTAAGTAGATATCATAATTGACCAGGAACCTGACTGATGTATTCTTACAGTTTTTCAGTTTCATTCGAAGATTTGTTCTTGAATTAGTCGATTTTCACTCATTTGTATTGATTTCAACGAAACTAATATGGATTGAAAAATTTATTAATTATCCAACATTAGATCGTTTTGCCGTACGTAACATGTGTCAAACTGTTGCTCTTGGGTTTAGCAAAGATGTCGAAAAGAAAGTGTGAAAATTTGCTAAGCTAACCAAAATGACTACTTCTGTCACTAATAAGAAATAGAATGAGGAACACTTTCACAAACATACATCAAAACAATATTACAAATAGAAACGACGAAAAGATTTTTATTCTTGGAAAATTTTCTTTTGTTTTTTTAATAATAATTCTTATTTTATCGAAATGTGTTTCATTTGTAGCTTCTATTCTCGTTTTAGAATAAGTTGTAATTATACGATTTTTTTCATTTCATCTTCTTTTTTTTGTACAACTGACACAAATAAATGAGAATAAAAACATTATTATTCTAAGTTAAATTATTAACATACACAAATGTTATGTTGTCAATGAGAAACTATTTCACATATATAATATTATCTACCTGGACTTATGTCTCATCATATAGACTACAAGAAAGAATTGTTTGTCATGTAAAAAGATAATAATAAATTGTGCGTTGTAATGATTAAGATATAAATAAATAAAAATTTCGTTTTATTATTCTATAATATTTGAAGAAATGAAAATATTAAAATTGTTTCTTTGTTCTATTCAATTGTTATTAATTATAAATTTAATAAAGTCACAAAATATTTGTTTGGATAATTCTGTTTTAACTTGTTATTGTAATGATCAAATGGAGGTGACCGATCAATTCGTCGCGAGTCAATTCGTCGCGTTCAATTCGTCGCAATCAATTCGTCGCACAATCAATTAGTCGCACATCAATTCGTCGCAATCTATTCGTCGCAATCTATTCGTCGCATCATTCTCTCATTACGTATTTTTTTATGATAGTCAACGGGGAACGCCGATTATTCGAATTAGTATGTTTAGTAATTTAAAAATACTAAGTAACATGTTTTTCGAGATATTATTCGATGACTGACATGTTGGAGACATATATGTAAAACTTGAAACTTGAATTCAATTGAGTTTTCAAGTTTCAAGTTTCAAGTTTCAACTTTCAAGTTTCAACTTTCAACTTTCAAGTTACTACGAAAGGACTGGCCGCAAAAGAACTAGCCGTGAAGGGACTGCTCTCGAAAGGAGTGGCCACAATACGACACACATCACATTGCCGCTGCTGTGGGTGCCGCGAAAGAACTGGCCACAAAAGGACTGACCGCGAAAGGAGGTGCCACACTACGACACACGTCACATCGCACCTGCTGTGGGTGCCGCGAAAGGATTGGCCACACTACGACGCACATCACATCGCAGCTGCTGTGAGTGCTGCGAAAGGAGTGGCCACACTATGACACACATCACATCGCACTTGCTGTGGGTGCCGCGAAAGGACTGGCCGCAAAAGGACTGACCGCGAAGGGACTGATCGCGAAAGAAGTGGCCACACTATGCGCACATCACATTGCAGCGGCTGTGGGTGCCGCGAAAGGACTGGCCGGAAAAGTCATCTGAAATTAGATTGAAAGTTGAGACTTGAAAGTTGAAAGTTGAAACTTGAAAACTCATTTGAAACTTGAAAACTCAATTGAACTCAAGTTTCAAGTTTGACACTACTGGTTGGAGACAGGTGGAATACATACGTCCTATTTAAAATTTCGTCGAAAAACGAACAAAAACATCGGTTTTTTTTCTGTAGTTTGATGAAATTACAAGATGTTGTTATTTTCTATTCTCTGAATACGTCATTTCATTTCTGTCTATGTATCATTTTCCCGCAAGATCAAACTCTGATACGGGAAATTTATAATGAGACATGCGACGAATAGATTGCGACAAATTGACGTGCGACAAATTGATTGTGCGACGAATTGATTGCGACGAATTGGATGCGACAAATTGACTTGCGACGAATTGATCTAGTACCCAAATGGAAAGTATTTCTTGTATTGGAAAAAATGAAACATATGATAGTTATATTGATTGAGCAGCATTTACTTCACTTGATCATCATCGATATTCATTTTATTTTGTAAATTTAACATCTTTAATATTTACTAATTTTACATTAGCATTTCCTTCTATTGAATGGTTACATTTAAATTTCATAAATGGTATTGATGAAGTAGGAGAATATGCTCTTAAAGAGTTCAATTATTATTCAGATATTGTAGTCGATCTAACATTTACATCACCACGAAAATATAAATATCATTAGTAAATTGTTCATTAAAAAAATGCAAGTCTACTTATTGAAACAATTTCAACATCTTTAGTTGATTTAGTTTTATCTTTTAATAATTTAATTGAAGAAATTAGATCAAATATATTTTCAAATATGATTAATTTAGTTAGTATAGATTTATCAAATAATCGAATAAAACATATAGCAATTGATGCATTTACTGGATTATCATTAATTGATTTAGAATTAAGTAATAATTTATTAACATCACTTGAAACAATAACAAATAATAATATAAAAACATGATTTTTATATCCATTAAATCAAACATTAGCTTTTCTTTCATTATCAAATAATCAAATAGAAAATTTAAATCCATTAAAAGAAATGTTAAATTTAGATAATATAACAATATGTTGTAATAAAATAAAATAAAAAATAGAAAAATTTACTTTTAATAAAGCAAATAGACTTGAATCAATTGATTTAAGTTATAATCAAATTGAATATATACATTCATTAGCTTTTAATCAAACAATTCTTAATTATTTAAATTCAGCTGGAAATTTATTTTCATCATTTGATCAAATAAATTCATTTTTTTATAGTATTCTATCAACAATTTCAACTTTACCATTTTCGAATTGTGCTAATTTATTTGAAATAAATTGGTTTATTATAACCAAACTTGAAAAATTATATACTTTAGATTTATCAACTATTCATAAAACGAATAGATTTTGGCTTTATAAAAAAATTGATGTTAATCATAGTGATGATGATTCATTTATTAATTGAAATTATTCCCCAGGACCTAATATAATTTTACATGACATTCAATTAACTGATAATGATTATTGTTTATCAAAATCAATTTTACATATTTTAAATCAAACAACTTTAATTATTGATAGTGATCATCCATGTAATTGTTTTCTATTTAAATTTAAAGATTCATTAGATTTAGAAAAACGTCCAATTTGTTTATCCAATGATACAATTATGAAACAATTAAGTAGGCAATGTGCAAGTATAGATTTATTTTGTGAATCATTTGCAAATAGTACAACTATTTTACCGTTTACTAAATGGTCATCATCATCATCTATGAATTCAAGTATCATAACCCAAACCAATATAATGACAAGTTTAATGACTACTAAAGCCGAAAGAATTACGAATATTACTTCAATAACACGGACTTCATCAATTACTATTTTATCGAGTATAGAACAAACGATAATATCTAGTATTATAAAGTTTAATACAACTACGAGTACCCATATTGCTTTACAATCATCAAATAGTAATTAAAAATGGAAAATAATTTTAGCTATAGTAATTTCTTCTATATTCATTATTGTTATGTTGTCGTTAATCGGAATGTACATTTTTAAAACACAAACCAAAAATAATTTGAATGAAAATTTTGAAATGCATGAAAAAATCTTGAATATGGATGATGAAGAATAATGTTGTTGATTTATTTATATGGTATCATTACAATTTAATGAAATATTCGTTAACTTTTTATAGTAGAATTTTATGTAGAAGATTATTTTTTTTTGTGAAACTGACATATATTTTCGAAGAAAATAGTCAGTGAAAATTTTCAGTCAATATTTTGCACTTTTCCATCTCTCATCCTCTGTAACTATTATTGTTTTGAGTCGAAATGTGTCTGACCATGTCCCAAATGAAATTTTAAAAAGTTAAAGATTAAATCTCAAGCTATATCAGATTCGAACTGAGCTACCTTGAACATCATGTTGTAATGGTGTTAGCCTATCCGACGAATGCATTGACTAATTACCTTTAATGATGATAGTTAGACTATGTTATATTCGTTCGAAATATTTTCTCATTCAAAAAAAAATATATACCGGAATTCGAACTTCATCACTTGTATTTATTAGTGCAAAAGCATTTATTTTTGTCTACGTAAAATATTTAACACTTGGTGCAATTTGTTTTTGTTCTTGATAAGTTTCTCAGTTTTAGTTTTATTAGTTTTTTGTGTGTCATCACATCCTTATACACTTCATCAAATTAGAAGAGCTTTTTACTTAATTTAAAACATTTAAGCGAAACAGTGGCAATACTAAACAATAATATTGCACATTTGATGTGTTATTCAAATTGTGTTTATACGACGATTGATTGCAATCATCAGTCAGACATACCACGTTTCACCCTCTACACATAATTCATGAGTTTGAGATTCTGATTTCTCACCTTGCATTAGCTTTGATCAAGTTTTACTGGATATATACTAATTTGTGAATAATTCATTCTCTTATTTTCAGGTAATATGAGTAAGTTTTCAGCCATTGATGTCGACGATGTGTAAGATGTCATAGTCTATACAAATGAACTGACGTTACCATGCGTGACACTTAGATGATGGACGACGTTACCTGATGTGATATCACAGGATCCGATTTGTATCGATCAAATAGAGGCACGAGATCAAAGTTTCATTGTCATCTTTTTCTACGAAATCCTATTTATTTCATCAATAAAAGAAATGAACATCTATGACGATATCTCCCACATAATGACACAATCACTTCTACAACTGAAATCATTTTGTGTAATTAGTAACTGCTCTTCGGCATTCTCGATCTCGTCGTTGATATCATTAATAATATCAACGACGACGTTTTGAATTACTATCTCAGGCAAGATTGGCATCCAATCGACGATAATGAAGGAAGTCGACGAAGTGAACATACTAAAGGACGAGAATAGTCAGCCATATCCAGCGACGAAAAAAAAACGCTTCGGATGAATTTGTTAGTTAGATAAATGAAATCCTAAATCGATAAAGAACAATTATTCGAAGAATTTTCTTTGCAGAAAAAAAGAAGACATTCTTCGGAATTTCTTAATAATTTGCTAAATACAATGCTGGCATGTTGTTTGTTCCAAGAATAAATTAGTAGAGTGCATCCGAAAACTTGTTACTGAATATTGTCAAATCGTATTCATTTGTTGTGAATGTTGAAGTTGGCAATTTTGCAAAGTCCACGACGAAGGCGTCAATAACAGAACACATCCACATTCTCTCATTCATTTCTTGATTAAGACAACTAGAGTGTTCTTCAGACATTTTTTACTTTTGTATGTGTATAAATATATGCTATCTGTGAAAGCAAAGACGAAATGTTGTAATTTGTCTTAGTTTCATTTGCACTATCCTATCGCAGATGTTTTATCAATCAGAATAACCATGCAGCAGAACTTTTCAAGCTGAAAATATATTAGATTCCACAAATCATTTAAAAAAGTCATTGTATTGCAAGAAGTATTGTTTTGGAAAGAAAGTACACATTCACTCAGTGTTTCTGTTATGAATACTTATCCTTGACGTATGCGACATACAAATAAATGTCAAACTACTGGGACTTTTTTCTTGTGTTATATGAATATTTTGCATATCTATTTTTTATATGTGAAAGAATTCTTAGGATTCATTGCACAGTAATCATCCTACGTAACATTTTCCCCAGGTACTGGTAATATATTAAATTCTGCATCTTTCAAACTTTGAATGGCGCCTTACAAGCTGATAAGACTAGCCAAAAGATGAGTCACAAAGTGGTACTCAAACCTCTAGTACGCTCAATGTTCAAAACCATTCGACTGATTATTCTTGCATATTTTTGTTTATTTGAGAATAATTTATTTCATTCACCCATGAGATCTACCACCATATATATAACTCTGAAGAGATTTGTTTAATTAAATAATCATCAAGTATTTTCTTTGATTTTATTAATGTCTTTAATCTGGTTAGCTTTGATTTACTTCTATGTTTCATACATAATGAAAATAAATGACGAGTATGAGAATTATTTCTTGATAATAAAAATTCGACAATTGGTTCAAAATCCATACTATTTATATCAATAGTAAGATGTTGTAATCGAGGACATAGAGCAATAAAGAGTTTGATATTTTTCATTGAAGATATTCGTTTTATAATCATATTTGTAATTGTATTAGTATTGGAGACAAATTGAAAATTGTCAGTATGATCAATTGATACAGTATCTATATAATTAATTGATTGACAGTCAAGTATTAATGTATGAATGTTTGGTGTTAAACGTAATAAATTAATAAACTGATCAAATCGAAAATCTGTACAATTAATAATAAGTTTTGTAAGTTGTTTTAATGAAATAATTCGATTAAGAATAACTCGAAGCCAAATACGACTTTCATAAAAACTGTTAGAAAGAGTTAATTCAGTAGGATTTGAAAAATAATTTATACAACTCATCATTGCTTGTTCACCTTGTATATCAATATGATTAACAACATCAACATTAGTTTCTTGATGGCGTGGACAAATTTTTTTATCCAATGGTTTATATAATGTATATTGTTTTCGTCTTAAAATTAAAAATGCCATTTCTATTTATTTTATTTTATAGAATTAAATGATTTTCTTATACCTGTATGGATCTGTTGAATAGAATATTACATGATCTCGATATTCTTTTCTATAAAAATGATACGCAAAAAACCATTTTCGTTCAGACCAAAACAAAGAACTGAATTGTTTGATTACATCGTCATATATCAATTGATTATTATCACTAGCAGCATTTTGTATAGAATTTATATATTGAAAATCAAAAATGTGTAAATTTGACATATATGATAAAATCCATTTTTCCCATTGACTTGCATTTAAATATGTTTCATCATAGGATGTTGAAATATGTAAAACTTGAAGTTGATGAAAAAGATTTTTGAACATTGATTCTAATTGATCAGAAGTAATATTTTTTATATTTAAAGAAATATGTGTCAAATAATTTAATATAGTTGACCATGATATCGTTTGTTTCTTACGGGATCCATCAAGACAATGAATTGATAAACGACGAAGTTGAGGAACATATGATAAGAGTGTAAGAAGTTCATAGAAATAAATAGTATTAGTAATAACAAGATGTTCGATAGGACTGATTGTATCTGTTGCCATTGGTAATAATTGAGATTCAACATGTTCTTTCAATGAAAGTTTACAATATTTTAATGTAGGTAAACGAAATATTTGATAATAAATATTATTAAGATTACGAACAGAATCAATTGAAATAAGAATTAAACAACGAAGATTGGGTAAAGAAATAAAATGATGAAGAATATTTGGAAGATACTTTGATTGAATATTATCAAATATAAGTGTTTCTAAACGAATAAATTTTAATGCAATACGAACTGGTGAAAAAATTCGATCGACAGTAAATGGATTTGATAAATGAAGTAATTTAATTCGATGTTTATTAGGATTGATAATATTTGTATAATAATGTTCAAAAGTTGATTTCGACATAGATGAAATATTAATATTGAAACAAAAAGATGAATTAGTAAGAAGATTTTCAAAACGTGTATTGAGATTTGAGAAAGCATTATATACATGAGAAATATCAAGAAAATCGAAAATTTCATAAATAAGTTCATTAGGAATCTGTTCAAAATGATTAATAGATTGTATTAATAAACTAATAGATAAAAATTAGATTGAACAAAATAAATATATAATCTATTTTGACTGACCTATTCGAATCATCTGTTAATTTTTTTCTCTTATTAATATCGTCGTTAGAATAGATACGGAGTTGTCGTTTTAATTTTATTTGTTCCATATTGAAGTCAGTAAAAACAAAAGGAAAAAAAAGATACAATAGCATCGAAAAAAAATTTTTTTTTTTACATCTAAGAATTTACTAAAACTTGAGAATATCTCCATAAAGATTCGAGCATTTTAGTTGCAATTTTCTTCAACATGTAGACTAATTACCATAATCCGCTAAACTATGAATATTATAGATGAAAACATAGAAAAAATCTTTACTTCCAGTGTGACTCAGAACTAGTCATACATCCTGTGCGTTCTATTTATTTAGTTTTTTGATCGTGATATAACTTTGAATTAAACCAATGTCCATTTGGAAAAAAAAGGCGAGTGGGTATTTTTTGAATAACTTTTGAACGAATTGATCTAGAGAACTACGATTTTCACTATTGAACAGATGAAATGAAAATGTGTCGAACAATATATATCAAAACATTTTTCTGAATATTTTCCTAACAGTTTTAGTCAAACATTTTCAAAAAATTGCTTTTTTCTCATACGTTAAAAATAAGTAATTTTTCCTCAAAAAAAAAATACAAAAACTTAAATTTTTCAATTATTTTTTTAAAAGAATTCGGTAGTAAAGTGCACTCCAATAGCTATGATATCTTACTGGTAGTAATAGTGAGGAATATAATTGTTATATAGTGCTCTAGCTCTTTATCTAGTGGCTCTAACAAACTCCTGAGAATCAATAAATTAATATCTCGATTATGACTGGTATGCAATTTTGCTAGAAGGTTTTACGTGAAACTGTTAGAAAAGTAGTTAGAAAATGTTTTTATGCATGATTCGATGCATCTTTATGTCCTCTTTCCAATGGTGAAAATTGCAGCTCTCTAGCTCAATCTGTTCAAAAGTTATTCAAAAAATACTCACCCGCCTTTTTCTTTGAAATGGGTATCAGAAAGTATGATTTTTCTTGTTTGTCATTTATAGCAATTATATTTTGGTAGATTGCGATGAAATTTTCTATGGATAGACTGCAACCATTAATCTAAACTTTGACGAAAACTGCAGCTCAAATGATTGATTCATTATGAACATATAATAGCTTTATTCTTTTCTACAGCTACATACGTAATTTGATGTGTCACCTATATATCAGGAAGAAAAGGAAGAGTCTGAGTGACAACATGTCATGTTTTTGGTAACTTATAAAGATTGGAGAGAATAAAAAAAAAGGAAAAAGAGCACATGATGATCGGTTTTTTCCAACAAAAAAAATAATAACGATTGCGTAATACCCACATTATTCATATATTATTATTTTTGACAAATAGTCTACATATAATGACAAAAAATAACCGTAACTTTAATTCATAGATGAAGTAGGAAGTTTTATGGTTTTAGTCCCTCTTTCTCTCTTTCTATTCATCCTATTTGTGTTCGAATTTTATATTTTATTGAATAATCGATTACAAAAGCAGTATTTATTTAAGTTTCGAGTTGAGTTTCTCATTGACAGAAATCCTTGAAATTGCATATATTAAGAGATTTTAATCATATTTATACCTGATTCATATAATTGTATTTCAATCTCATTGATCGATTCTTCATGACAATGTAACGAATATATATAGGGTAATATAACATGGGAAAGTCCCATAAACGATGAATAACGAGCGGAAAAATCCATAGAAGAACACGAAACGAGGAAGAAGAACAGAAAGAAATAGAAAAGTCCATCATATATGTACATATGATAGGAAAGGAAAACTCATTGCTCCTTACTAACACCAAGAGAAAAGTAGAACATAATTGTACATGCACAAAACCTATAGAGAAAGGGAGAGACGTTAAAAGATGGACGTGATGTGACGAAAACTAGATTTTTTTTTTGAGACTGGGAAAATTAGTAAGAAGTCGAGTAGTTCGTCGTCGAAGAAAAAGTGAAAAAATTAGCAACGCCATAGAAATTACAATTAAGAAAGAAGTTCTAAAAAAATGCATTGGATTCGATCTTCTGATTGTTTATTGATGTATTCTGTAATTAAAACTGTACGAAAAATCGCAGATGAATTGCTTTTTCATTAAGAGAATACTCACATCCACACTCACGCCTAATGAGGTAACAATATCAATACCTATTGGTAACATCTCATCTCTAGTTTACGTTTTTTAAATTAAAATTAAGATAAAATGTCATCCATACTAATACCATTTGCTAATGGTAGGAGCCGTCAATTATTATTACGTCATGAGATAATCGGTATTGCAAAAATATCTACGTTTATGTTCGAATTCACGAGCACATCATCCACATCCTGACCTATGAGTTCGGGGATGAAAGTATCGTGATGGTATGATTTACTGCGTGAATGGGATGAATTTCTCTTGAATCATGGACCAAGGGGACAATCGATTTCATTCGTGTTTTAGTAATGTCTGACAAAAAACATCAATGCGCAAAGTGATTCGAAAATGTGGTAACTTTATCTTGATCATTGAAGACTGATACGTGCCATGAAAATTTTAAACTTTTTTAGTTTACGTTGAGAACTATTTTTATTATGGTAATGAATGATGAAATCTAATATTATTACTGATTCTTCAAATAAATATAATTCGTTACAATCTAACGCTTTTTCTGAAAACTAGTTCGAGTTTTGTAGCATTTTTATTGTCGATATAAGACTGTTAATAACTGTTGGGAGCATATTATTCCAGTTTTAAGGATACAATGTCGGCATTAGATCGATCTTTATCTTGTAGTTCCAATTTCTTTTTTACCACATCCTCTGGATACTTCTGCGCCAGCTCGCGAATATCGTAGCTGAATTCTTGATGTGTTTCTTGCCATAAACGAGCTTCTTCTGTTGTATATTGATAAAAACCATTACCATTTATTATACCTTGTCCACCTGATTTTACTATTTTGTCGATTAATTTTGGTACTTCTGTGCCATTACAAAGGGTTGGAAATAAATCTTGCATTACAGCATGATAAGCTGGTACACCAGTTAAATCCATCCATCGAAAACATCCGGCAAAAGTGATCCAATTACCAGGACCATTCCGACATGCCCGATCGACATCTTCGATAGAGCTGTATCCATTTTCGACCAAATAGAATGCTTCCCGATACAAAGCATACATGAGACGATTCCGAATGAAACCTCGAATGTCCTTTCGTAAGAGCATCGGCTCTTTGCCCCAAAAATGTGATAGTTGATACAACCATTTGGCTTGTTCTTGATCACTAGTGTTTCCACAAATAATTTCGACAGAACGAGTAGTATGTGCAGGAACACTCCAGTGTAACCCAAAAAATCGATTGGGTAGACGAAGTTCTTCCTGAAGAACGCTAATTGGAATAGCTGATGTATTACTTGTTATGATTGTATGACCGGCAACTGCATTTTCAATGTTTTTGAAAACCTGTTTCTTAATCATTACGTTTTCGATGACGGTTTCAATGACTAAATGAGTGTCTTTGAGAAGATTGTAATCTTCGGTAATGGTCAAATTTTGTAAATAATGAGTTGGTTGTTTCCGACATATGCCTTTTTCAAACGACAGAGTAAGATGTTTGCGAATGCACATCTCACCGGTTTCTAAATCAGTCTGAATGGGCGCGATTGCAATTACTGGATGACCAGCTATCAATAGGCAGGTGGTTATACTACATCCCATGAAGCCTAATCCAACGACACCTACCCGGAGCTCTTTACAATTAATCGTCGACTTATTTTCTTCAGTTTCCATTATTAACCACGAATCGTTTCAAATACGTTTTTACCCTATTTTCACGTCTGCAAAGAAATTAGAACATAATATTTCCAGTCAGCTTGAGCATCAAAAGAACTAGTCAAAAGTAAGAGAGAGATAAAAGCTTGATAACTGTAACAGAGAAGATCTAACGCTCAATGTTCTACACTTCTTCAATGTGGAGCTATTAGCACAATAGACTGTCGGGTTTAGAGATGTCCGAAAACGGGGCCGAGACTAAAAAAAATTTGATCCCATACATCTCTAGCTGGGTTTCATGTAAAGCTGTTACTCTCAGAACGAAATACCAATCACTTTATATCTGATATATTAGTTTCCAATGAAAAAATAAGAAAAATGATACAAGGTTTTTGAAAAAAAAAACAGTGTTTCACAGATTTTTTAAGAGAATATGTTTTGAAAACAATTTTTTTAATATCCTATCATTAAAGTAAAAAAAAAGGATTCGTGGCAACTACTGTTATCATAGAGAACAAGTGTGAAAAAACAGTGCAAAATAACGTAGAAACAGACGAGAAGACAAAACACCTGTGTACGATAGATAAGGATACCACCAAGCTAAAACAATTTATGCACAATATGTTTTTTTTTTTCGTTAGTGTTTGGTTTTTTTCTGAATGAAGGCAACAATATGTAATTCTCTTCATCAACCGCTTCCGCTTGGGTTCATGTGGAGAACAAACGTATTACTTTTCCTATTTTATATGTTTACACGATGCTGATCGACTCTGTCAAAAATCAGCCAATATTATCAGACATTATGAAAAAAAATAAGTGTGCAACTAGATGGTTTTTTTATTAACTATTCTTAGCAAGAAAAATGTGATCGCGTAGTTTGTAGGATATATCTCAATCAAAAGGCATGATCTTTTGAAATTACAACGAACATTTATCTCAAACAGTGATATCACTTCCAGTATATTTGATTAGAATGAAGCTGGGTAACTGTCAGGAAATGATAAAATAGAGCTTGGTTAATGAGAACCATAATTTGTAAAGAGTGTGGGTGTAGTTGTGTTCGGCCTTCATATCTACACTCATACGCACACTCACATCCATATCCTTCTTTCGGCGAAAAGTCATTTAGTATTCGATCAATAATCATTCGACCAAAAGCTACTTTCTTCTTACTTCAATGCCTAGTCTTTAAGCAGTTTTCTTTCTCAGACACTCTGTTCTTTTGGAAGGCTCTCGAACTTTCTTAAATTGTGAAAGCTACTAGAATGTGTTAGGAAGGTCCTTCTATTGATCTTTCATACGGCTCTTACGGCTAAAGCAAGCAAGCAAGTCGAACTTTCTTACTATATACTTCAATACTCATCACCAGTCGTGATTTCCAATAGTAAATGTAACACTTCTATTCTCAAATACTATTATAGTAAAATGACCACCGGTTCAAGCTCTATAAAACTCTGAAAGTTTCATATTTTCGAATGATACGTTTGTATAACTTGGTAGAAACTTGATGGAAACGCTTCTAAAATGTTTCTTCTTTTTATCTTCCTAGCACATATTTCGAATAATTGTTGGCCAACAATTTCATATCCGATGATAAAAATGTGCTACCAATTTCCAGCAGCTATTGTCAGCTGTTTTATCAATCTATTCGTGCATTAACCACTTGAAAAGTCTTTTTTTTTTGAAAAAACGCAACAAAAAACAAAATAACTTTGTATTTACCGTATTTGGAGAAGAGTTCTTGTTGTTTAGGCATTCACTACCTTGTGGATTGCTCTAATTTAGTAGTAAATATTTTATCATCACTATCCGATGCTTGTAATTCTTGATCAGCAATCGATGTTGGAATTTGATGCACTACACATGTCAAAGCATCTTCAATGCCGCCATCAATTCCATTATCCGATACATTTTCTTCATGATCCAATGTTTCTAGTGATTCTTTGTTGTTCTTACCAGTGTTTGATTGATTTGTAGCTTTGAGCAATCTAGTTGAATTAAAAAGAGCTGATTTTAAAAGCAAGATGAAAAACGTTTTCTCTACTCAGGAATAAAATTCAATTGTTTTTTTGTAGATGAGTAAAGATAATAAACTTATCAACTTCTGCTGTATCGTCATCGGTACGTTCATCATTGGAATTGCATCGAGAAAGAGCAACAAAAAGCTGGTTATTATTCGATGGACGAAAGAGAAACATGATTATGAAAAGAACCACTGAAGAGAGCCCATGCCAAAAAGCATCTTCGACCTAGAATAGTCAAGAACACGTTAGCACAGCTCTACCTGCTTATAAATACTCATCCTACCACTATACTTCTTTCACTTCTACTATCATTTTGTAGCCTGTAAAACAGTAAGTGTTTTGGACAGGACCATTTTGCTAAAAGTAATGTTCGTGGGAGTTTCTGATGTGTTTTAATATTAATTTTGATTTTATTGAAACCTATCTAGATCGATGCAGCTCGAATGGTTATATTTGGAAAACACTCTCTTAGGCTTTTAGAAACCAACTCTTAGTAGAAAAAAAAAAGAACTTCAAAATAATGATTTTTTGAGAAACTAGAAAATGATCATTAATTGTTGAGTGTTTTCAAAAACAATTATATTTTGCAATTTTCCATCAAAAGCTGGTTTTTAAATATCTAACACGGTATTTTTCGTATATAACTCGATAAACTCTATCGAAACTGATACCACCAAGATCAAGAATACTCCAATACTCAGATGAAAGCCTCAATTAGAACTTTTTGCAGATCAGATTTCGAATCTCATTCGAAACACGAGCTTATATAAGTTCTAGCAAAGAATGGCATTGTCAAATAAAATACATGAAAAGATAAATATACTCAAGGTGCATTGTTTAGCTTTTGAGTTTCCATAGGGTTCAGTCGACATCACTCTTCAAAGAACGATCTTGGTCAAAAAGACTTAACTTTTTTACGGGCTCTACACATTAAAAGATGTGCAAGAAAATAAAAGGCTGATCAAAGGCTGCTGCCAGTTGTATCGTCGGTTTGGTGACCAAATCATATAAAGAACACTAGCAACAATAGCCAATAAAATCGTATTGCCAAAATGACGATACACATTCAACTGAGATGAATTTTGTTTTACACGTAGCGTTCCCTTTGTTTTAAGTAATGCGACAAGTCCGTAACATCAGATTACAATATCGGCGAAAATTAACCCAACGAGTAACGTCCACACCAAATATCTTTATGGTTCATAATCCAAGCGATGAAGTAGTTTAATGACAAGAATAAAATAAATAATACCTATAACCACCACTAATTCTAATTTCAGTGATCTCGAAAGAGGTTTAAGTATGCCAAAGCCTCATGCAACAGTAACAAAGAATATACGAGATACTGTTCGGTTTACATATGAAAGAACGTTAGGAGTTATAATGGTATATTCAATCAAGTATCTAAAAGATAAAATAATGAAAGATTAGAGTTAAATTTTACTCATATCAATATGTTAAATAATATGCAAAGAAGAATGCGAGTTTTTCAATCACACCAATAAAAAGAAGTCCACCAATCCAAAATTGAGTTTTAAATAATTTTTTGCGTAGAGAATATACATAAGATAAACCACAATAATACAAAGAGGACAAGAGTTATTTCCACGAATGAGTGCTATGTCAAGATCTTTAGTTGTCGATATGAATGAATACCATGAACTATAAGTACCAACAGCTGATCGATAAGTTTCAATCTGTTTATTATCTAACAATGCTCCACGATACAATACTTCTTCTACATTTATCATTGTTGATAATCGAATGCATTCATAGAGTAAATAACAATATGGTCCTAATGTTGTCAATTTCGTTACATCTTCTTCTCTCAGAAACTCATTTATAGCACGGTAAAGAAAACATGCTCTTGTATATAGTTCAAAAATACATCGTTTAATAGCCTCGACATTTTCTCCATCTATATTCAATAAATTGGTGGTAATCTGTTTGGCTTCTGCTCTAAAATCCAATTTTGAGCCTTCTTCAATAATATCCGTCCGTGCTAATCGTAAGAAAGATTCAAAACACTGAATAGGTAATCGTATACACGAAATAGACGGTAGACGATTTGTAATTCAATGAGGTAACCATCGACAATATGGATGCATATGTTGATATTCGTATAAAGAAATCATCTGAGGAGTAATCCAATCAATACGATTCAAAGTTTTCTTTATTGTCGGTGGATCACTTAAAAAACGTTCGTTAGGACTACATATATTAATTAGTAGGATGTGATTGATCTTCTAAATTTACACGTTTGATCGGTCGTTGTTTTGTACTATCACGAGCATTCATTTGAATTAAACGTTTTAAATCAATAATATAATCAGGCTCTTTAAGATTTACATATTCGGCATTGTTTCGAAAAGCTTTTTCGATGATTCGATTTTGATCATCTGAATATGGTTTCCATTCATTAACATCAATAGATGTCCATGGATCTCGCCTACTTTTCCAGTACCACTGAATGTTGGTAGATAATATTGTTGTTGTTGTTCCATTTGAATCCTTCTTCACTCGTCGTATTAGTTTAATCAATATATTTCGTAATTTTTTCTCAAAAAGAAAATTATAGAAATATATGCCATGAATAGATCTCAGCAAAATGAGTAAAAATATGAACATTTTCGTATTATCATTTATTTCGCGTTCAGAAACGGTGAATTTTTTATGATAGAAAATTGTTGTTAGAGGTATAATTTGATAGCTGATTATAATAATTGAAGTTGTAACCGTTGAAAGAAATGATTCAATGACGAATAATACGGACTGAATTAATACAATTCTAATTGATCTTATTAAATAATCGATTACCATTAAACGTATACAATTCTTATTGCTACTTTCAATTATATAATGACGATTACTTCTTATAATTAAAATAGTTAAAAACCACAAGACCGGTATTATGTTAGTAGTAAATGTATAGATGATAAAAAAGGCATTGCAAGAATATTTAACTGTCGTTTGTTCATCTATAAGGATGTAGACGATAGAGTGATCGGTATATTTTCCAATACCGATAGTTATTAAAATAATCAATATTATCATGCAAATAAATTCTCGAATGTTGATCTTTTGCATTTGAAGCATAAGACTAATGATAGTCTTTGAAGAAAAACAAACCATGAACTTCAGTTTTTTCGCTTGAAAATTGTTGCGTTTTAATACAAGCTATTAACCGACATAATTGAGATGACATAATAAAGTAATAGTGAATATATGCTATTATTTCAACAGCAATAGATGGCATAAAAAATAGAAAACTTTTAATAAATGATACATATAATAGAACAAATTCGATAAGTAATGCGCCATATAACCATGAAATACATGAGTCTGATCGATATTTTTTATTTAAATACACAATAAGCGATAATATCGATCTGATGTTACTCAAGCAAAATACAAATATATCAAAGCAACGGTAAAAATATGAGATATTATTATTCTTCATAATTATTCAATAAACAAATTTAATGAACATAATGATATTGCATTATTCATTCTAATAATGATAAGTATAGACACCATGACAAAATCAAATGTGACAAACTACTTATAAAAGAGTTTATGGGTTGTCTCAGCATAGAAGACATCCACACAAATTTATTTTTTCAATCTTTTTATGCATTCAAAAAAAAAGAAACTTTTAAAACCTCTTAGTTCACATTTTTAACCTTCACGTTTAGTCGACTACCTTGACTACAGATTAAGTAAATTTTTTTTAGAATATACAAAACAGAGATAGCGTCGAAAACTTAACAAATTCGACTTTTCATATATCTTACATTAGTTACTATATGTGAATAGTGAGCATGGATGTGTTGTTTCCTCATACTCACATACATTTTCATAGAAAATATATTCAATTTCGCCTAGAAATTAATCGAAAAGTTACACAATATGCAATAAAATTCTATTCGGTATAAATCAACACACGACCCTCTACTGACTTCCATAAAAAAGTTCTTAAACAAGCACAAAAAAAAAATTTTTTTGAAAATTTCCCACATGAGATACGGACTTTTTGATAAGAAATTTTTACCTAAAATCTTAAAGAGAAGTGCAGCGATTTTACAAATTTCTTTTTCACCCTTTTCAAGGAACTTTTTTATGGAAGTTCATAGAGAGCTAATTCTTACATTAATTTGCTAGTACTCAGTGCACCTTAAAATCATATATGAATCTAACTTCTAGTGATAGTTTGTTTTAAGAGATAGATCCCTTGAAAAATCATGATTTTGTGAAAGGTCTCTTGAACGATTGAAACTAGTTAGAGAGCTGAATTATTTTTACTGGAAATGCTAATCCATGAAATCTCTCCATAATCTAAATTTCAGCGCTCTAACATTATCGATTCATCAAATATGTATAAGAACAAAACTACAAAAATGATGATTTTTTCGGGTATTTGGTACTACCGATCAACTCACCAATAGTTCACTCTTGTGAACTCATTTTTTTGTGATGAGTACATCTATTGGAGGTATATCTACAATAAAATTCTCAAGCCATATAGATTTGTTTTCTGTGAGGTATGAATGTCATAAAAATTCACAAAAAATATACTGTATGGAAATAACTCCCTTAGAACAAATTTGAATAACTCGATAGTGGAACAATATTTTTTCAAACAGTTTGCGTCAAAAATCATACAACTCTTCTTGCTACGATATATCTTAAATTAAGCAATATCTGACGATCTCGCTTGAGCAAGTTTGGTCTCGACTTTCATGGATGATTTTCTTATAAAGGAAATGTGATAAATCTCTACTATTACATACATATAAAAACAGATAATAATAGATGCATATACGCATAAGAATTGGAAAGAAAATACCAACCATGCAAACTAGAGAAAGAACAGAACGAGTTTTCCCATGTTGATAGGAGAGCACAAACAAATAGGTTTGAAATAAATTCCCTTTTGATATATCTGTGCCCATAAATTAATTCGTCTACGAGGCAAGAAAGTCAAATCTTTCTACTACCATTTGCCTCTCTTTGTTATCAGATGCTTCTAGAAACAACAACTACTTCTGAAGAAGTGTAATCGACCGACGGACAAGTTGATTCGAACATCTAATGAAAGAAATATATTTATTGCTTTGTATTTTCCAAGAAGAAAAAATCCCATTCTCCTATCTGCATTATCTATCATTTGAAAAACATCAAATACTTATTAAGAAGTATAATAGATTGACTGATGAAAGAATTATATATATATATTGCTTTCTAATTTCAAGGAAGTAAAATTGATCAAGTTATTGTGACAGAACATCTTTTCTGATCATCTTATTGACCATTATTTTAGTGAGACACTTGCCTCTGATGAGTGTGGGTGTGATTGTTGTTGTGTTTGGTGAATATTGGTGAACAGAAGAGTCTCATGACTAGGCAAGATAATCTAGATTGAAAAATGAATGATACTCGAACGAATCCGACGAGTAATTTTCAAAGAAACCTGGTTCTATTGACTTTTATTAGATGATTCGTGTATAGAAGCTGATTCGAGTCATTTTCAATAAAAGCTATTTTCATAACATTCAAATTTCGATAGATTCGCGACAATTTTTGTTGGGAATCTTGCTGAATTAGCTGAGAGATGCAGACTATCATATTGCAAATATGGTTATTTATAATGAGATGTCATATAACAATTAGGAATCAAGAGTTGATACCCAACAGTTTCTATTAAATATTAACAAGATCAATTCGACTACATAATTTTTTGCATTCTCATCTACAGCCAACGAATAGTTATAAGAGTTATGGACGTAGCAGACGCTCTTTTTTCTTGGATGTGACTTCATGGTAGTATTAGAAGTTTTGAGCTATTTATTTTTGAATATCCCATAGGTTTCTAAGTTACAGATGGTAAGTGAAAGACTCCTTAAAGTGCTCTGTTGTATTTTATGCCTGTGATATGTAGAGTATACTGATAGATTTTGAAGGATATATGTAAACGTGGGTTTCGATGCCTGATACTGTTGGGCTCAAGTTAGCTGGTATCAGCCGAAAAAGATATACCTTATTATCAGACTCTACCAAGGAACCATGACGTTCGAAAGTGTCATCAAAGGTTAGTGCATGATAAGTACTTTTTCTGAATGTCAACATGACATAAATAAAATTGTACTACCAACAATAAATTCATTCGATTGATTGACAGTAAATAATATAATAATAATGTATTTTTTTAATTTTTATTTCGATGAAGAACGATTACATGACAGAAGCAAAAAAAAAGTAAAAACAAACAAAAATTCATGCATGTCTAGAATCCTGTGTAACAGAAAAAAACGCGTGGATGAAAAATTGATATTTTCAATGTAATGTTATGAGAAAGAACAAAATCATTTGATTGAAAATGATCTTAGACTCTTCTGCATTTCAAACACTTGAAGAATAGTGTATTTTATTTTCGTCAATTGAAAAAACTATGATAACATTTACAATTTGAATACTTAAAGTGTTTTTGACATTGGACTGAATTCTTTTCTTAATTTCAATTTCGTTGGAAACATTTATAATGTGAACTCATTGAACAATATGTAAAAGGTTATGTGACAAAACTCATGAATGTGATGCGAATCGATGATTGTTCTTATTCTTGTTCTAATGCTTCAATGATCAAATATGTATATCTCAAAAACAGCTAAATTCTTTATGTCTTTTTTTTTGTATAACATGAACGGCAAAAGGAATATTATAAACAAATTAATTAACAATTTGAATTTACTGTCAGTCACACTCCACTTTTCACGGATTGATGTTAATGACCAAAGAAAAATAATTCTTCATCAGTGATTAGTTCAAAATTGTGACCATTATTGTTTGAAATATTCAAATCAAGATTCTAATCTTGTAGATTGATCACTCAAATATGAAATATTGCTGATGAAGTGAAGAATAGAAGAGACAGAAGAAATTCGTACAAAACAACAAATCATTTTTCAAATTCCAATCCTTATGCAAATCAATATATCATCGACTAAACGATCATTGAAATTCTTTCTCGACTTCTAAAATAAAATTGAATTAACTTCTTTGTACAAATATATTTTTTTCTTATGAAATGACTCATGTTACAATGATGCCTGTCGATCGCCATAAAAGAAATGTTTGCGTATAGTGTTGCCTGTATGTTGTCATAATTGCCATATAATTACGCAATTCGTATGAATCATATAAAAGGAAGAAAACTTGGAGTTAAGCATCACCTTTTATGATACATCACTAATCAAGTAAGATAACACAAAAAGTGAGTATGGTTTTAATATTTCTATTGTTTTCCTATATTTTTGTCAATTTATTTCTTTTTTTTTCATGAAGACCGAACTCTGTAAAAGACACTATTTTCACTCTTTATCGATCGAATAAAATTTTTAAATGAGTATATGATCATTTAACTTCAATCGTAAAAAATATAAGTTTTTTCTCTTAAATAGTAGTTTGATAGAATCGTTGAAAACATGAAAATATATTCCGAAGAATATATGATCAAAGTGTATATTTTTGTTTCTTTAGCAGCACCATGTGTAAAGAAACAAAAGCAAATGGGTATTAAAAAACAATGTAATGTCAACATTACACAATTGATAAGAATAATGTCGCAAGAATACGAATAATTTGCTTTTTTACATAGCTATATTTAGAAGTGAATATGTATGTCATGTTTGTAATTTCAACGAGAAGAAATTTCATTCATTGCACAATTCTCAGTCATTTTTTCATTATTCTATATGCATTCAGTATTTTTCAGATTAGCCGAGAAAATAGATTTTGAGAAGGTACCGATATAACCAAATATTCCTATAAAGTATATTGAACTACCCCATGAAAAAAACTACGGAAATCTATTAAAAAAAAATAGGTAAAACTTACTGAGAAATCAGATACAAAACTTGCGAACAAATTGCATAATTACTGACAAACTTTCATCTAATTACAAAAATTAGTATAGCATGAGAAAATAATATCCCAAAAATGTTCATAATTTCTCTAATTTTAACGAGTATAGGTTAAGTCTAGACACCAAATATAGAAAGATCATGAAAAATAACAATCATTTTCATGAAGTTCACACTACTGCAACTAAAATTCTTCACATCTCTGAATCATGAGTTTTTTTTGAAGGAGCCACTTCTTAAAATAGGTAGTAGCTAGATTGACTTTTGATGAACATCAGAAAGATCAAATGAAAATAATATTTACTGTACTCTGCATCATTCAATTTTATACACTTCGTTCTATATATATACAGACTTAACGGATGAACTAATACCACTCTCATCTACGAATTTTACTTGAAATAATTTTGTTTTTGTTACTTTCGTATTATAGATTGAACGATAACGATAAAACTATGAGTACAGAAAACATGGCTTCAGTTGATATTCGTTGCATTCCGGATAATCCTTATGCAATCATTGGTATCGTGAATACAAAAAGAGCTCGAATAGAAATTGAGACAAAGGCAAACGAACAAAATGCTGAAACAACGAAACGGAATCCAATTAATTTAGTATTAGTACTTGATCGTAGTGGTTCAATGGCATCAAACAATAAATTAGAATTCGCGAAAAAAGCTGTTATTTCCGTACTTAATTTGCTTCATGATGATGATGTTGTACATCTAGTAGCCTATGATGATAATATTTGGAACATTTTTGAAAATGCACGTGCATCAGCTCGTCAAGTTCTTTATTCGGTTGTTGAAGGAATTAAGTCTGGTGGTCAAACTTACTTATCTGGTGGTATTGAAACAGGTGCCAATCTTTTTGAAAAATATGCATATCCTGGATATTCCAAACGCATGTTTGTATTATCAGATGGATTAGCAAATGTTGGATTAAGAACAAAAGAAGAAATTATGAAAGCTGTTAAGAAATATAATGAAAAAGGAATTATAATTGATTCATTTGGTATTGGAGAAGATTTTGATGCTGAAATTATGAAAGGTATTGCTGAAGCTGGATCTGGTCAATTCTTTTTCCTTGAATCAGCTGAAGTTATTGTAACATTGATGACAAAAGCACTACAGAGTGTTTTCGATGTTTGTGGAACACAAACTCAACTTATTATTCGCGGCCGTAATAATGCAATCGTAACAAAAATATGGGGTCATGAAAACATTGCATTAGGTGCAAATCTTGGTGACCTTCATGTTGATAATCTTCGTGTTGTTCTTTGTGATTTTACAGTTTCTGGAACAGTATCAGAAGGTACAGAAGTTGATGTTCTTGATTATCAATTGAAATACAATCGTCCTGGACATGTTGAAGAAGAACCATTAATAGTTTCTGGTAAATTATCAGTAACATTTGTCAATGATGAATCCCTTATTCAACAAATTGATCCAAAAGTTAAAACCTTACATGCTGTTCAAGTTGCAGGAGAAATGGATGATAGAATTGCTCAATTGATAGACAATAACAGAAGAGACGATGCTATTGCACTCATTACTGAACAAATTACTCTTCTGAAAGAAGTCGAGCATTTAGACGATGAGAAAGGTATGATTGAAATGTTAGTCCGAATGGCAGAAAACATGCAAAACCGATTGAAAGAACAAATAGTTAGCGCAAAAACTGCTGCTAAATACTATGGTCACCATGGTCATATGAAAAAATGCCATGATTACAAATACACTCATCACTACGCAGATGAAGCCTAAAAAACTTCACATTGACTCTATTACAGTATAAGAAACCAAATATTTATAACTGATGAATATACAACAAGAATCGACTGTGATTTTCAAAATTTTCTTCACTCTATTGCTATGTAGATTTTCGTATTACTTTTCTATTTCCTTGATTTTTTTTTTATTCTATACGTATAATTACATAAAATATCGTTCTTCTACGACAAAGTATTTGTTGTTTTCTTCTTTCAATAAATTGTGTAAATCCAGACCAAATATATGAAGAAGTAACCGCAAAATATGAATTTAACATTAGAGAACGGTAGAGATCTTTTGTGTTTTCATGTAGACTAGTATCTTCGACCACAGATGATTGTGTTGAATAATAATATGCGAAACGCTTAAGTGCACAAGTAATGCATGTGTTCTCTAAATGTGTTAATTCATAGAAGTGATTGGGTGTGAGTGTCGGTGATGAGAAGAGTCATCACCACGCTCACATTCAAAGCCATACGCCTACCACCTACCCTCCTCAGTATACTCCTTTGTATGACTTTCTCGTCAGGATCTAACTGATATCCATATGTGATTCATATACATTACTTATTGTGAGATAGTACTTTCTCTAGAGATCTTGAAATTACATAAATAGAGAAAACTGTATGAGTATTAATTTTCAGTTTTAGAAAATATTATGAAGATGAGCATTATGTAAAATCTTATTTCCTTGTATTTGAAACATTATCATCGCAATATTTTATTTGTGATATACAGAATAAATAAATAGCATCAGAAACTCAAGATAACCTACGATGTATAAGTATTCGTACAAAAGTTCGAATAAATTCACATATTTAGTATTGGAAAAGTTTAGCGAAAATTGTCTTTAGATTGATCGAATAAAAAATGGATGAAATATTATCTTTCATGACTTTTGAATCATTTTCTATTTCTATGAATGGTTGTAAAATATTAACGTTCTGAGTCACTAATCCATCTGATAACTATTCAAAATCTTCTTGAAGATCTTGATTTATAGTAGCTGCTGTCGGTTGTATGTACTATTTCGTGTCATTAGTTAATTTTTCCAAAGCAAGTTTATCGCATAATTCATTAATTGACATTACATTTAAGAAATATTAAAATAGGCTTACTGGATGCGTCAAGACTCAGCATAAAATTTTTTTTTGTATGCAACTATATGCAAAAAATGTATACTTATGTAATAGAATATGTGCCAGTAACAAAATGCTTTTTTTTGAGATGCAGTGATTCCTTCAATAGCAAGATCGTAAGAAATTGCACAACTACTGTGAAATTTTATTTGTTTCTTTTTTTTTTTGTATTCTGCTACTGATGGTCATGATTTCGCTATATGTATCGATGCAGTTTCTCTCGACTTCTACTTACGTCCATCAATTCACGATCAGCACCATCACTACCAATTTTCTAACAGAGGTATCTAATATTTACTTGATCTTCAACTTTGTATGTATTTAAATATTGTTATCATGCTACCATGCTGACTTGATGATTTCAAAATTTCCTTATCAACTGTCATAACAAAATGGTTAAAAAAAATAAATATTGACATTTTGGAAATAAAATCCCCACAAATCGAATTAATATTAAAATGAAGCAAATTACTACAAAAATTTCTGTTTTTTTTTTAATATTAACTTTGATATATTTTTAAAATGTTCTTGGAGTTTTCATCGATTTTCTCTAAAATTCTCAAGTTAATCATTGACAGTAAAGAATAAGCTCATTACAATCATTCATAAATTAATTGATCAACCTTTAAAAAAAATCAATTCAATTCTTCAATACAATAAACGAATTAATTTTAATTTACAAAAAAAAATATTTCGATAACAATAAATTCTTAAATAAAAATTGATTCTCTACAAATATGGACGAATAATATAAATGATGTACTTTGAATCAATGTCAATTATCTATAGAATGAGTTTTATCAATAAAACAACTTGTTGTAAAGAAGATATAGTAACAGTATATCTTTGTTTTTTTTTAAATAGTTTTTGCTAATATTTCAAAGATGAAATTAATATTAGAGCTGAATTTGATTAATCTAATCAGATTGTCTTCCTAAAAAACGTTTGAAAACTAATAAACAGTCCTAAAAAAAATTCTAAATAGATCATTTAATTTTTTTTTTTCATTGTATTCATTAAATTCATTTGTTTTTCTAACAAGTCTTCCATGTGAATCATGTATTATTTCATTTTATGAAATAAAAACAATAGTTGACGATTCTTAATGTAACTTGCTGTGGAAATGAGACATTCTTATATAAATAAAATGTAATGTTAAAATACATATATCATAGAAGAAAAATCACAATGTTAAATGTCTATTTCCCACACCAACATGATCATTACTGTTTGATTCTAGATAAAAGGCATTATAGTGATGTTCATCATTATTTATTGTTGCTTTTATTGATTAAGAAGCATAGCAAAAGATTTAATACAAGAGAAATTGAGTTTAGCAATTTATCGCCAACAGTTTCAATAATTCACAATTTATTTGCATTAATTAATAATAAATTTGAATGATAAGAAAATTGTGATGTAAAATACAATTTCCTTCTTGACCATATGTACTTAACATACCAAATCCATTCTAGTCAATCCTTCGTTACAAGATGAAATTCTGATAAATAAATCTTCATTTTCAACCATTAATCTATGACAATAAAAAAATCTATTTCAATACTGAATATATTCTTTGCAAAAAAAATAATATACATGATTTTTTTCAACTTATCATCAGTAATATTACTCATTGCAATCACTGTATTGCATAAATAATTTAATATTTCTGTTTCTAAATTAATACAAATACAATTTCAGATTTGTTATTTACTCATTTACATCAATATAATATTCATTTTAGTCTAAACAACGCGTTTCGAAATAATACTTATTGTATTTGAATTCTTCAAAAATATTTTCAATTGAAGAATCAATATTATTTATTGTCGAGGTAGTCAAACGTTGCCAGTACAAATGTTAAAAGAGTTCATTCGACCATAGTACAGAATAGTGATATAATTTACCACCTAGTGACATCTTTTGCGTTCTAAACTTTCTGTACGTGTCAGACTGAAGATAAAATTTTATTTCTTGTTTCTTTCTCTTCGAACAATATACATTGTCCCTTTTGTCTAGCATCCATCATTCGTGTGCACACTGGCGTTATCGACACCCTATTGTATCTTATTCATTTAAAGGTAGCGTTTCGATCAGCAATAAACGTAAACCGGTTTTCAATTTTGACGGATTCATTTAGCAATTAAACAAAACTAGATGAAAGGTCAAGTATTGGGCTTATATTCATACCGATTATAATAATCAGTATGTATGAAAGTCAGGAGATCATAACTCTTAGTTATCGATATCCGAGGGTATTGAAAGCACAGTTTTAAAAGAGAAGGTAAAGGAGCGAATAGTCAACGAGACGAGTACAATTGGAAAAATCTATGATGATGAATTCGCTTCGGCTTCTCTTAGGGTGTGGGATGTAGGTGAAGAAAACACAAAGATCTACATCCACACCCACACTCTCAAGATTGTTATTTTTTCCGATTGTCGACATTTGACTACTTTTCCTATTTATTAGAAGAATGTTGACAAAGACATTCATTCAATGAGAAAGAATTGAATCGCATACATATTATACTCAACACTTGCATTTAAGTACTTCATTATTAAATAATTGAGATTTTTTTGTACTTTATGGCTTCATGATTTTTCAAATGAAAGAAATATCTTTTACTCGAGTAACTAACGTTTTGTATTGGTGAGTATGAGTGTGAATGTATTTGAAACTGCTATCGATGCCCACACCCATACCCTATCTGATTTAGTAAAAGACTGGAGATTTGTTTAAACGAATTCATTAAGTTTAATGCGTTAAAATATCATCTTCAACAAGACCTTATTTTTGAAAACGTTTTTTTTATTTCTAATTATTTTTCGAGCAGTGACTTTCTTTTGTATAATCATACCAACGAGGAACAAGATATATAAAGCAACATTTTCCTAAAACTTTTCTATAATACATGCATTATTCAATATTAATTGCTTATATTGAATATAAATCAATTTTATTTGATATGTTATAATTAATAGACGATCTTGTGTAGAAAAAATTAGCAATGTCCAATAACTCTACATCAATTGTTGACATTTGTTTGTAGAATATATATCGATAAAAATAAATTGATCTGTTTATTTCTTTTATATATTCGATTATTAGCAAATGTATAATTATTAGATGATATTATTGTCGATCTTTATTTGATAAAAACTAACTTAGCTGAAAAAATTCTATATCACAGGGTATGAGTATGGCTGTTGCTTCTGCTTGACCTACACAAATACCGTTCCACATTCCACACTCATACTCCGCACCAGTTGATATATAAAACGTGTTCAGATGTCATGTAAATAGTATTTTCAGTCGGGTCTCGACGAGGGTGTGAGTGGAATGGACGCGGTGTGCCAGTGTGGATGATAAGAAGAGTAACACCGACATCCATACTCACATATTATCTTCACTCTATATCACTGACCAATTTCGTATTTTTTTAATAACATTAAACACACTAGAAACCATAAAATAGTTCCTAGTTGAAAAACAAACAGTCAGTATTTTGTCCAGAAATTTTCTCTGTTGGCCATTGATTAAGAAAATAATTATTTATGGTACTTCTGGGTGACATTTTAACTTTTTTTCTAAAGAAAAAGGACATAAAAGTCAAAAAAATTTGTGTTCTCTTTTTTGTATTGTAGAATAAGAAATCAAATTTCATATGCTGTTCTATGAAGAGAAAAGAGTAAAAAGTCATAAAGAAAGGAAACGGAAGTAAAAAGAACGTGGTAAAAAAACGAAAAATGTCAAAAGTTTTGACCATTGCCATCTTTTAATACTCTATTTTTACTTTCCTTATCTTTCTTTTTTCTTTCTTGTAGACTTTTTTCTTCATAGAACAACACACGAAA